CAGAAAGAAGACGTGAAGACGCCTGACTAGACTGCACCACTTTTCCCTCCAGGTGGAGGGAGGGCTCAGAGCTGGTGAGTTATGGTGGTCTGACCCGAGGTCAGCATCAGTGCAGGAGGCTGAAATTAATCTTATTTACATTTCTTCATGCGTATTTACTCAACATATTTCAGAACTGTTTATCTTCAGGTGGATTCTGATTTGACAGGACAGACAGTTTGAAAAGTAGGAGGAGTTTATTAAACACCGACCATGTTTTTGCCTCTTTTTGCCTCATGGTCATCAGTTTGGCTCTTTATGTTTCATGTTCATGCCATTCTTTACGGCTTCGATCTCAATCTCCACCCTGAATCCTGAGCACTGAACCCTCACACACTCACACAATAATTGGCAACAGCCAGCTTCAGTTTGTAAGAAAGGCTTCTGGTTTGCGCCATACGGGGTCCATTATGTTGGACCCATCCATTCCCCATGTTTACTGTCTTCATGGTGCCCAATTTGGATAATTTTCTTCTGTGTTCATGCTCAGTATCACAGGCCAGATTTTAGTGGTCATAATTTGCATCCTTTAAACTAAATGAAAAATAAACTGATAAAAATGTTAAATTAAACTTGTAAGATCTTTTCTTATGACAGTTGTGCATGCGTCATAAAAAAATAATTGTACAACGTTTAAGTATTTTATTAATTTGATTTACACAAAGCGTCATGAAGCAACTGCAGCGGACGTTGGGCTGAAAAACACGAGAAACTACAAACAACAGGCGCTGACGTTCACTGTCAACACTCGTTTAATCACAAAACGTCTTTATTTTTAACAAACACAATCATCACAGAGCAGAGACGGAGAAACAACAAGACGGGGAACACACACTAACACTGCTCTCTCTGTGTGTGTGTGTGTGTGTGTGTGTGTGTGTGTGTGTGTGTGTGTGTGTGTGTGTGTGTGTCGAGGTGTGGGTGGAGGGGGTATTAGTCACCAGAAATGGCACAGAGCCTCTCTCTCTCTCTCTCTCTCTCTCTCTCTCGCAGTAAGTGGGTCACTCCATCTGGAGCAGAATATGGAAAAACAGCAACACAACGTTTTTCTACCAAACGCTTCGACATTGAAAAAAAGAACTCTCTCTGAAGTCAAGAGGAGGAAAAAACAAGTAAAACAGGAGCTGACCAGCGGAGAGTGTCACTTGTTAATCTTTGAATCAGCGTTTAATCAGCGTTTAATCAGCCTGATTACCAACAGAGAACATGATTTTATTCTGAATATGTCCTCCATGCCTCTCTCCTCTAATTAAAGGAGATTTTAAACTGTTGACAGATTTTATCCCAAGAGAAGATTTGAAGGGTTTATTCATGAAAACTTTATTTATCAGAAGATTTTTTATCAGGTTTGGAGAATTGTTCAGAATTATAATTGATTGAAAGTCTGAACGAGTTGGGCTTTTGATGATAATAATAATAATGGAGCACAAGGAGGCCAGTGGTTATGTCAGGCGCCACATGTACAGAGGCTGTAGTCAGCACTGCAGCGGCCGTGGGTTCAAATCCGACCTTGGCCCTTTCCTGCATGTCCCCCCCCCCACTCTCTTCTCCCAACGTTTCCTGTCTCTCTTCAGCTGTCCAATCAGAAGAAGTGACATCGACGATCACCCCGCTGTTCCAAAAGCTGAACTATTGTGGCGTCAAAACCATTATTTGACTTCTTCATCTCAAATCGTAAATATCTACCAATTCAGATCAGGCTGCCTCACATGGAATAACCGCAACAACCAATGAGAGCGAGGTGACCGGATGTTGTGTGTTCTTTTACAGCAAAACTACAGGATTTAACCAAATGCTGAACAAGACATATTCAGGTTAATTTGGTAGCGAAAAAAGGACAAACTTACAAAATAATCATTATGCTGTATTGAAGAAGACTGAGATCATTAACTCGTTTGTAAAATGTTTACTGAAGGAATAAATCACCTGAGCAGTGGGAACATTTCCTCATAGAATTTTATGCAATCAGACATCTCTGTGCATCCACAGAGGAAGGATGCCTGCTCTCTCTTTTACTATGTTTACTTCTTATGTAGTTTTAAGTTTACAATGGTTTTCAGTGGGTTTAACTCTTTAATCTCAGATTATGAAATTCAGCATAAAAACTGCAGAGTATAAAAAAGGATTTCTCAGAAGGCTTGACTCTGTGCTCCCTCTGTGTCGTCTGATTGAAGGTTGCACTGAGCTCTTGTAAGGCTCCTGAGGTTTTCATGGACTCACCTACAGTGTGTGTTAGACTGATAACAGAGTCACAGATCTATTATTGAAGGATTTCCATAAAAACTGTCATCAACCTGGGTGAATCAGTTCAGCTCTGTCCTCAACAACAACAGGCAGAAACTTTCACATGTTTGTCTCTGTGACGTCCAACTTCATCTCTAAATCTCAGTTATTAGGGAGATTTTCACCTCAATTGTGAGTTAATTTAAACCCTGAATCTGTAGAAAAAAGGATATCAGTAATTTAATCATGCATTGGTTTATAAAAGTTGCGTCTCATTTTAGGGTGATCTCTTTTTTACAGATTCTACTTAAAGATGAATCATTTCTCCGGAGGAGAATATTTGACCTTTAAGGCTCTGATGGCTTACCATCAAAAACTGGATGTAAAACAATCAATTCAAAGGATTAAAAAGAGAAAATGAATAACCATATTTGGTGTAAATGTGAGCATTAATAATATATGATTACGGGTGGACAGAATCTGTGCTGAAATGACTCTTGGTGCTAGTTTTAAAGAGCTGCTGGGCTCCTGCTGCTGTGATTCACGGAGAGAGAAATCACTCCATCCTGCTGACTCACCGATGAGTTAAACAAAGAAAAACCCTCCGAGAGTAAAAACTGATCAAACACAAAGTATAAGCCAAGAGTCTGTGCACAACCTTATTCACATCCTTCACTCTGCATTGGCTTGATTGATTGATTGGTTGGTTGATTAATTGATTGATTGATTGATTGATTGATTGATTGATTGATTGATTGATTGATTGATTGATTGATCGATTGATTGATTGATTGATTGATTGATTGATTGATTGTTTGATTTATTGTGCATGGTCGCTTTGTAATAAATCAGATGCCTTGGATTACATGAACAATATAGAAATAGCATATAAATTAGTGTTGTAGTCAAGACCACATTAACCGAGACCAAGACAACCCGAGACCAGAGTGCTCAGAGACCAAGACCATAAATATCATTGAAAAATCATCATCTTGTGTGCAGCGAGCGTGTCACTCACTTAAAGCGTTAAAATTAAATGGCTGATGTTTTGCCCAACTGTGGTAATATTTTCTCTTCTTTGTCGCTACGTCCACGGCCATCATATATGAATCACGTCTAAAAGCTGAATTGTATCCACTCCTAAACTCACCTGTGCGCTGTCATTGGCTGGAGAGAAACACACCAGCTCCCCGCCAAGAAATGTCCCGAGTCAAACAGAACAAACCAGAACATCTAAATCTAGTCAGAGTACAGGGTCTTCACTACGAGGAAGCTTAAACATGTCTCACCGAGTCCTATATAATTTAAATATTCTTGCAGTTTTAATACTGAGTGTACAGGCTGAGTGATAAATGTTCAATACTTTGTCACTGGAGCTTTAATTTGACAAACAGGAAACGAGCAGCAGGTGAAGATTTCAATAGTTTTATATTTGCACAAACGTCTCAAACAGCAGAACCATGAGCAGAACAGAGAGAAAGAAATGAACACACAGTTTAAAAAAACAAAAAGATACATTTTCTTCATAATAAATAAAGTGTTTGATCAAACCACAAATATGTTTCATTTCAGGGCATTAAGAACATTTTGTTTGTTACATTTTTACAAAAATAGACTCAGACACATGAGTTTAAAAAAGATAAATATTTGTTCACTGATCGCAGATAGTTTATTTTACTTTCTCTCTCAGTTGAGGAGTTAAAAACCTTTTAATGAACTCATTAATGATATCAGCTGGAGTATTCATATGCTTTTTAGGGTGCTTCTCATTTTAGGTTAAATAGGTTTTTATCAACTTTGGATGAGGTGGAATGAACCCAGAATTATATTTTGTTTACATCAAAAATGTGTCTCTTTCAGATTTCCGTAGCTCTAAATAAGTTGGTGCAGGAAGTTAAAAACATCTAACTGGATCAAATCTTGAAATCTGACTGTAAGAAAGAAAGAAAAATGTTATGAAATCAGATAAACTCCAGTGATCCAGTTTTTATTTTGATAAAAACTGCAGTTTGGGTTGTTTTAAACTTTTAAGGAGGATTGTGATGATGCTCACAGGTCTGGGGAAGTTGTTAGTCTCATAAACGGTTATGCACCTTCTGCTCCGACATGTAGCTGCAGATCACTTCATCTGAAGGAATCTGATGGTTGTTATGACAACTGATAACAGTTTGTTAAGAAGTCTGATAACATCTCATCAGGTTTCCCCTCGCTCAAAAAAACCCAGAAAACTCCAACTTCATTCTCAACTTTCTGTTAAAGGTCACATATTCTGTAAAATCCACTTCACCATGTTTCTCTAACTCCAATATGTGTCTCTAGTCTGTCTACAAACCCCCTAATGATGAGAAAAGTCCATCCTCTCCATCTTTTGCCTGCTCCACTTTTCAGAAAATGTGTGCTCAAACAGACCGTTTGGAGATTTTCCCTTCATGACATCACAAAGGGCAGTAACCCCTCCCCCAGGTGGGTGACACTCCCACAGCTAGGTGTTTGTTCTGCCCTCTGAGTCTGCCTTCTCACCGTAAACAATAGGACATGGAGCGAGAAAGCCCGAGTACACCCAAGCCCTTCCAGAGAGGGGGCGTGGTCATACACAGCTCATTTGCATATTTAAAGGTACAGACACAGAAACAGCCTGTTCTGAGCAGGGCTGAAATAGAGGGGTTTATAGACATGATCAAATACAGGATCAGAGTGGATTTAGAACAAGAAACTTCACACACACGTTTTGAGGAGCTCTGAGACTTATTTAAACTGGTTGAAGACAAGGAGGATATGTGACCTTTAAACCTCTGATGTATTGTTTTCAAAGTTGTGAACTTTTTAACAAAGACAATAAGTGACAGTTTTATGTTTCTCAGTCTGAAAGCTGCATTTTTCTGCAACATGACACAGCACATTAAATGTATTTTCTGTTAAAGGAATTTGCTGTTTTACTGAGATATTAAAAACCTAACCTGTCATAGTTTGTACATTTAAAAATAAATCTAAGATGCATTGCATAAACAGTTTGATGTCAGTAAGAAAGTTTTGATTAATAATGCACACTAAAATGTTACAAAGTATTTTCATTACACCGCTGCAGTTTATCAGCCTGCTCTCTGATTGGCTTACAGGTGTTTGCAAATAATATGTTATTGAACATCGTAGCTTCTTCACCTCTGTAATGACCTCAGGATCTCTACTCACTTCTCTCAGACATCAGGCACCCTCTCGAGTACCTCTACTGCTTTCAAAAACCTCCTGGAGGACCCAATGACCAAATTCAAGGACCTCAGAAACCAACTCAAGAACTCGAGGTACACTCAGTGACACATTGACACCCAATCCTGGATCCAAGGGAACTCCTGGAACAGATCCACAACCTCCCATAAAGGAGCTCAGAACCTCATTTTCCAAAGCAGGAATATCATTTAAACTAATGTTTAATATGTTGAAAACAATCCAGAGTGCATTATGTTTCATTACAGCACAGCAAGGAGTGAGTCATCCTTAATAAACATTTGAGGTATTACAATCGAAACTTAAATTAAAGCCCACTTTTCCCATGCTGGCTGTGTTATAGTGTTTTATCTAAGTGTGTTTTTACACCATAAAAACATATTTCTCTGAATGCAGTTATAGCAACAATAAAGCTCTGCATCTGAATATTCTTCAGGAATTTTTAGAAACACACACAGACAAAAAATGCTGGTCAAAATCAACAATCTTAGAAATTCAACTAAGTTTTTATTGTTCTTATTGATAAAGCAACAATATGCAACTTGTCCACCTTGAAATATTAGTTTAAAAGTCGATCTAACAGTACAATAACTTTTAACAGATAGGACGGCGTCTCTCTCATGTCCAGAGTGCCTGTCCGTCGCCTGTTTTCAGCACGATGTAACTTTGGCAGCATGCTGCGAGAAGTGCGTACAGCTCAACGGCACTAGTTCACATACAGCAGCCTTCAGTTTTAAAAAGAAGCCAGTTAGCCCTCTCTGTTCTGTTTGTTACAAAAAGAAAGAGTGAGCGAGCAAGAAGTTGGACTACAGTAAATATCGGACAGGCTTTTACACGTCAGCGAGAGCTTTGCAGTTGGATGAGTGAGTGCTGTGTATTCCTCGCCATGATTGGCAACTTCCTGTTTGGTGCTGGAGAGACTGCTCCTATTGGTTGTTGACAATGGTCACGTCATTAAACAATATAATTTGTAGACTGAAGACCTGCGATGATTGATTTTATCGTAACACCAAGACGAGAAAAAGAACGCCTTAAAACAGCTTGGATCGAGTTTTATGACCACCTTACACCAACGGGCTGCAGATGCAAGCAGAGTCAGCAGAAAATCCAGAACTATTACCGTACCTTGTCAGCCGACTTGAGTCTTCGGCTTCTCACAACATCTACGCCGGCTTCGTCCGAGACATTGTGAAACGTTCTGTTTGTCAACTAATACACATTGGTGCAGTTGCACTCAGAGACCTTCTGTGGGCACCAAAGCGTACCAACCTGAATTCAGACATATTGTTGCTTTAGGTTTATTATTAACAATAGAAGGTCATATAATGCCATAGAGGAGTAATAGTTATTAACCATTTTTTTCTCTTGAGCTTCAGAATCGTGCTCCATATGAACCTCCAAAGATTAAAACCAGATAAAAAAATGATTTCACTGAGTAGAAACAGAAAGACGTCCTTTTAACATGACAGTTATTATAAATAGTAAATGTTACTAAATCATCATATCTTATATGCATCATATTTTTATATAAACACTTTGACACTCTGACATTTTTTCTTCATTTTGTTCAAAAATAAAAACTCCTGCAGCTCGTAAAAGAAACAAGTCAATTAGAAATCAACGATGAGGGTGGATCACTCTCCACATATTAAGAATTTATTGCTCTACTTCAAAATAATATGTAATTATCAAATTGAATCTTGAAAGAGAAAATGGAATCATGCAGACGTCCTCTTGTCCCAATGTATCCTGATGATATCCAACGTTCACAAAGGTCCATCAGGAAGTCACAAACAATGGTGCAACTTTAAACTCTTATTCTTGTTCATTTTTGTCTTTAAAGGGTTTTTAGCGTCCAGCGGCAACAAAGAGAAAAACACAGACGCATCTTTCAGATTTTAAACCGACCACCTCCGAGTCTCACTAGAGAGATGACAGTAATCAGAGGACAGAGTTTGAGTGAGGTGTTCATTTGATTTGGAAAACGAGGGTTCAACTTTCTTTTTGAAAACACATTGTGTAAATTATGACGGGGAAATTCAAATTCCTCTTACATAAAGTTATGTGATCACTCGACACTGATGTATAAATAACTCCTGAAGTCATTCAGGATAAGTCATTTTTTTTTCTTGACTTCTTTGAACTACACATCGTAAACGATAAACTTGAAACTGTATAAATGTTCATTTCCTTTATTCAAACCATGTTTTTTTACTTTGAAAATCTGCTTTTTATTCCTCTGTTTCCTGAACAGTTTATCCAGTGCGATGACACAGCTGTGTTTCCAAACTGTACAGAACGCCATGTTGAACACCTGGAGATATAACACCTGTCATATGAATGTGTCGACACCGTTCAAACTCAAACTCCAGTTCAGGTGTCAAACTCTGGTTCTGTCTGTTTTATAAACTTTATCATCAAAATTCAAATTTCAAAATTGAATTTTGCCCACATTAGGGATTAATCCATCCCTCTTTCATGTTAGCCCCGCCCCCTCCAGCTGCGTTATTGACAGTGGTTTACGGGGCAACGTAAATCCCACCATCCACCTGTCCTGTTCAGGCGTCACACACACCTTCTTTGCTGAGTGCAACAAAACGGCAAAATCTGAAAGTGACATCTCGATATTTTCACGTCCTCATCTTTTTGGTTTCCGCCTCCTCAGCAGCTGGAGTCCTCGCTGCCTGTACCTCCCCTTCCTCCTCCTCCAGTCTTGGCGGCGGCGGTCGACCCGACAGTGATCTGGCAGCCGTTGGTGACGTGGCTCATGACCTTCTGTTTCAGCTGCGCTACCTGCTCCCGCAGCATGGCGGCGGTGGAAGCCAGGTCCGAGTTCTGATTCTTCAGGACCTTCACTTTGTCCTCCAGCCGCGAGATCCGCTCCAGCTTACGCTTGCGGCACTTGGACGCCGCAATGCGGTTGCGTAGCTTCTTGCGTTCCGCTTTGATTCGCTCCTGTGTCTCCAAGTCAATCGGGGAAAGGGAGGGCGGGGATGTCGGGTCGCCCGGTGGGTGAGGCACCTCGGGGACGGTCTGAGGAGCGTCTAATCCTCGAGCGTGTGGCTGAGGGGCTCCGCCACTGCCGTGGCCTGAGCCGCTCCCGTACCCCATCTGTGCCCCAGGGTACGCCATCTGCCCGGGGTTGTAGCTGCCGAGGTTGGTGTAGACGGGCATGTCTCCGCCGGACATCAGGTTCCTCTGGTAGGACGCCTGCAGGGAGACGGTGGAGGACGGGGGCGGGGACATGGGGCTTCCTCCAACCAGCTGGTTCTGCTTGTGAAGGTCGGCGAGCGCTTTGACGAAGCCATCGGCGAAGCCCTCCTGCTCGTTTGTGGCATGGTTGCGGTAGAGGAAAGGGTTGCCGCCGTTGGACATGGGGCTTGTGGTGACGAGACCCTGATTGGACTGGATGATCAGGTGCTCCAGGTCGGGGGACGACAGCTTCAGCAGGTTCATGTCGGCCGAGGACGCCGCAGATCCCATCAGGGAACTGTTCCCGCCAAGCCCCAAGTTGTTGTGGTGTCCGCCTCTTCCGCCTGACGAACTCCCGCCGCCGCCGCCTGAGAAGTGTTGACCCCCCATCGACATGGCCTTCTTACTCATCAGCATCTTGTTTCCATGGTAGCGCTCGTATTCTGCGATGTGGCCGAAGCCGGGCACGGCGTGCGAGTCGTCATGGTAGAAAGGAGTCTCCATCTTGGCCGTCATTGACAGAGAGGCGTCTCAGAGAAGAGCTTCATAATCGGATTAACCTTAATATCAGAGGGGATAGAAAAACGTTCCACTGACGTCGGCGGCTGCAGGATGAAGGCAGGACGAAGACGAAGAAGAGAAGTGGAGTGCCTGCAGCGAGAGAACAGATATCTGTGAGATGAAGAGGAGGATGAAGAGGAATTAAAGAGTACTAAAGGGTAAACTTGGAGGTGGTGCAACTGATACTACTGCTCTCTAAATGTGTGTGTGTCTCTGTATATGTTGTGTGTGTTTTACAGTGGGAGGTGAGACTGAAGACAAATATCAAGCTGGATAATAAATCTCCAGTGTTTAATGCTTTCTCTTCTTCTGAATCTAAGAATAAATCATAAACTGTGAAATGTAGAAAGACGTTGGATATCATCAGGAGGAGGAAATGTTGGGACAAGAGGATGTCTGCATGATTCGATTTTTGCTTTAAAGTTATTAATTTCAAGATTCAGTTCGATAATGAAATATTTTCTTGAAGTAGCTTGGTGATTTGACAAAGTCGACGGCTCCATTTACAACATACACCAGACAAATACTCAGAGGTCTTCAGAGCGCTCTGATCTGGGATTCAGCTCCATGTTCAATTTTAGGATTGATTTGCGCAGAAAGAGTCCTTCACCCTTCACCCGGCATCTCAGGTTTGATTGTAATATTTCAAATTCACTGTTCAGAGCGTGGACAGGATTGGAGACCTGTTATGCTGCTAGGCCACGTGTCCACTAAGTAGATTTTTTTTTCTTAACGCCAACATCTTTTTAAAATTGTTTTCAATGAGTAGAGAGCGTTTGGAGTAGCAGCAGACGGCTGCCTGGAGAAAAATCTCAAATCAAATCTTAAAACCATCGCTTCAGGAGTGAACTTTGCGGCCTCAGGATGCTAAAGCATTAATGTCTTAACACTATTCATGGATTTTAAAATTCCAGGTTTTGATTTTAATGAAGTATATTATAGAGTCAGCCTCTGAGGGCTATTTTTAAAACCTGGAGAACATCACTTAAGACAAGAACAACGACATACTTTATCAATCCCTGAGGGGAGATTCTATTTTTTACATCTTGTTTTTCAAACATGCAACAGACACAGAGGCCAGAATCACACACGTGCATCAACAGGAACCTCTGGACATGCACTGATGGAGAGATGTCAGCGAATGGCTGCACAGTAGAGAGCGCCCGAGCAGCTTTGTGGCTCCGTGCCTCCTTGCTGAAAGAAACATCTGCAGTGCTCAGTAAGTGAGTTGGCATCTCTCTAGCAACCAAACCCAATTTCATACCTCAGTCCAACCCTCCAGTTCACAGCTCAAGTCCCTACAGACTGGACTACTGCTGCCCCTAAAGGTTCTGACGCACCAAGGAGATCGTCGGCCCCACGACTGTCTGTTTTAACATGTTGAAACGGTGTCGGTAGGCGTCTGCGCAGTTGGTGAGAGGAATCACTCTGATTGGCTGTTCAGCTAAGTGAATCTGTGCTGACAATGCTAGCGCCATTTTCTTCTTTTTATCAGACATTATTCTCCATTAGTAGGCTACCTATAATACGAGTGGTGACCGACAGCGATGTGAAAATGAAATGAAATGAAAACGATCTTCTCATATCATAACAACGGACTACCGCCCCCTGCTGGCATGGAGAGTTATTTCCTCTCACACATGAGCAGAATGTATGTGGTGGTTGGCCATCGGCTGTAGTCTTTGCGGTGTGTTCAAGTGCAACTTTTTGGCCAAGACAAATGCGACGTGAGGCGTCTGCTTGGTGTTTCAGGGCCCTAATGGTTGAAGGCTTCCTGTGATCGTACAATGTTTAACATTACATCCTTTTGGCCACATTTTTCTTTGTAAACATCTTTTGGGCCATTTGGGGTTTTTTTTGTTCTTTGCTCAAGGAAACATCAACATGTGGGTATGATGAGGTGAGTTCAAACCCACAACACAGTACGTTTGCACGCACAGTCACGTCGAGAAGCTTGATTCGGCTTTTCAATATGACTCTGACTCTGACCCGATGAGACAATTTTTCACAAGGCCCAGAAATCCTGGTGACGCACCTATAGTCACTTATCATTTGAAGTCCTAAAGATAGAACTACTGGGAACAATGTCCGATCCTTGAGGTCCTCTGGTGAAGCCAGGCATTACTTCAGGATAGACTTTGTTTATCATTTTTTAGGCGACTACCCTATTTCCTCCACAAACTAGAAGACTGAAAAGACTTTTTAAAAAACTAACATCTGTCAACAACTTGCTCTGAGTTTTTAATCACAGGCTCAGATGTTGCAAATGCCTAGGATCTTTCAGGGTCACTAGCTACAATACCACAACTAGATAATTTCCCATCATGCACCTGGTGGAAATTTACAACTACAACTGAAAAAGGAGGAGAAACTGCAAAGAGTTATGTAAGAGTTATAGAGTGAGCAAGGATGCCTCTCTGATGTTTTCTCCCCTTTGTGCTAAGATAGTGTAGAAGGAAAATAAGGTGGACACAATATCCTCTGGTGAGTATGCTATAGCTAGCTAGAGCTTGTTAGCTTCAGTCCAGGAGAACCTGGTGCTGGAGAGACCGCTCCTATTGATTGTTGACAATGCTCACGTGATTGAACAACACAATTTGCAGACTGAAGACCTGCGATAATCATTGATTTTATCGTAACACCAAGACGAGAAAAAGACCGCCTTAAAACATCTCGGATCGAGTTTTAGGACCACAAAATGTGTCTGTGCCTTGAAATTGCATGAAAAGGTGTAAGGTGTAAATCCAGCATGAAGAATGAGAGCTGAACTGTAGAGACATCTGCAGCTGTAAAATCAGTTCTCTGCACTCGTATGCAGACGTCTGTTAAAAGAAATCCCTAAAAAGCTCTGTGATGTTTTTATTTTTCTAGCTTCTGATGTGTTCGGCCTCCTTTGCTCTCCACACAGACAGTTTACCTGCATAGAGCCTAAGCCTGACGAAACATCAATGGCAGCCGATACAACTCAGACTACAAGCGGAAATCTGAAACCTTTCCAGCTCCAGAAATCATGTTCCTCGCCTACAGACTGTGCATCATTATGACCCAGAATGAGGTTGTTGTTTTTTTACCACCTATCACTTGGCTTGAAGTTGCATTTTGAGGAAATCTCTTTGAGGCGAGGGAACATTTCCCCAGCCCAAACAGTTTGACTTTACATGCATGTGTTGTTTTTTTGTAAGCTGGAGCAGAAAACGTTTAACTGTGAGAGTTAGAACACGACGAGTGATGTGTATCAGTCTGATCTTCTTATAATGCAAATTCATCCTCAGGAAGAACCTTCATACTTTCTTTTTTTAAATGTAAGGGTGGAGAAACATTTCTCTGTGGTCAAACTGCACGTGTGGTGAAGCAAACGCAGCAGGTTGAAGTTAGTCTGATGATCACCAGCTGCAGTGAGTCAGTTCATCTGCTCTGTTAGCGTCAGTGAGACTAACGGGAGCGAGCTCAACACACCAACGAATAAACCCTTTTATAGATGTATCATATTTAAACTTACAATATTAGGACATTATTTAAAGAAGTGATTCTCAGCAGGTAAAGCCTCAGGACCGACCACCAACTCCATCATGGAAAATCACGACCCCAACTTTCTGATATTTTTCTACTAATCTGTTTTATTAAATGAAGAATTGTGCAGATTTGACCTCAGATGGTTTAAAAAGTGACAGAACAAAGAACCAAAACATAAACAAACATGTTTAAGTAGCACCTCTTTACAGAAGATGATTAAAGACAATCAGAGACATAAATAAGGAGAGGATGACGATTGTTTTTTTCATTATGCACTTCAAGGAAAAAAGGCTAAATGTCGAGAGAAAAAAGGCAAAATGTCCAGAATAAAGTTGATTTACAATTTCAAGAATAAATTCCAAATGTCGAGAAAACTGTAGACATATTAGGAATAAAGTAAAATGTTAAAAATAAGGTTGAAATGTCGAGTTAAAATGTTGGGAAAAAAGTCTAAATGTCGATAATAAAGTTGAAATGCAATTTCAACGCTACATTCAAAATGTTGGGATTAAATTCAAATACATTTTTTTTTAGAAATTTCGTTTTTAGTCTTGAAGAGAACAATGAAAAAAATCTTCCTCCTTATGTTTCTGGTTGTCCCTAATCCTCTTCCGTTGTTCACAGACTTTTTGATTCTTTCCAGGCACTTATTCAAGTCCCACTGAAAATGACTCTGCGACCCACTTTGGGGTCCATTCCCACCAATTGAGAACCCCTGATATAAAGTCAGTATAAACCAGCACTACTCATCAGTGCCCTCTGCTGGACAAACTATGTCCGTGTTTCTAAATGAACTCAAATAATGAGATTTATTCACATAGTAAATGTTCATTAAAATAACATCAGCCAATATTTACTCTAGTTTTGAGGAACTGAAGCGACGTGTTTCCTTTTTTATCAGCTGATTTTTATTTCTTTACGACATATTAAGTACATTTTTTAAATCTTTTGCATTCAGCTGAACATTTGCAGAGGGATTATGCATTAAAATAAACGATCTCTGATTAAAAATGAAGACGTGTTGTGAATAGACACGCGGACAAAGTGTTACCTCCACCAGGTGATTCATTAAATCACAAGAAAGCTGATTAAATATAATGTCATCTCTCAGTTCAATTTAAATCACGTAGGTTACGTTTTATTTCCAATAATGCAGTGACTACGTCTCATTATTGAAGCTGTAACAGTTTAATGTCTCTACTTTGGTATTTTTGAAGATGTTTAACCCGCATTTGAACACGTTAAAGTTTCCGGTGACGGTGCAGCCGTTAACTTCTCACCGGGAGAGGAACCGGACCTGATGGAGGTGAACGGAATAGTCCCGCGGAATCACACAAGAAAAACTCCAGAGTTTAACTGAGATATTACAGCAAAACAAAAACAAAAGACAGAAGGACGGATGTTAAATAAGAAACATGTGAATAATGTTTGATGTGAAAGGTTGATACTCACAGAGGAGGAGAAGAAGAAGAAGAAGAAGATGAGGAGAGCTGCTGAACGATCCGAGAACAGAGAGTGAGTCAGAGAGAGAGAAAGAGAGAGAGAGCGAGGGACTAAACACACACACACACACACACACACACACACACACACACACACACACACACACACGCTTCATCAGAAAGTGACTCACTCTGACGCTTTCTCTTCATTAGCTTATTAACACATATGAAGAAGTCATTTATTTACAGTTTTAAAGTAATAATAGCATAATAAGATTGTCTATGATTGACATCACTTTATTAAAATCTGACTGTTTTTAAAATAGCCTACACAAAATCAACGTTAAAGAGGGAAACATTAAAGGATGAAAACACTTTTTTCTCCACGGAAACTAAAAAACACGACTCGACGCCCTGAAAGTAAATCCTCTTCATCATAATGAGGGACTGTCCTAACATGTCGACACCTCTGCTTTCAGATGGAAAAGTACAACAGCAAAACGTCTCCATCTTTTTTTATTAGTAAGTCTTTATTTAAAAAAAAAAAAAAACCCATGGAAACCCCAAATATTGATGTGTATTCTTAACAAAGAAGCAGACACACTAGCCAGGTGTGGTGAGCTCTGACACAGACAGCTGCTAATTTGAGCTAACATCTCAGTAAAATTATATAAGACACAGCCCAGAGGTTAAAGGTCAGGGGCTGTTGTATGGCTGAGGTGACACCTAGCAGAAGGCTAGCATCTCACACCAGTCATTTAAAGAGGCCACACCCCCCTAATTATACATCACTTTAAGCCTTACAGGTGAGTTGTTTAAAAATTATGTTGTCATGAAGAGAGAAAAGTACAGAGTCCCTGAAGTTCCAAAAAGTTATGATCTTGTTTGTTCACAGATGCAGCTCACCTTGAAAATTTCAGAACATTTTCTAACTTTTTTGAACATGTGCGTAAACACCAAGTGAAGCTGTTTCCAGGATATTACAATTACATTTCTCCCCTCATGTATTTGAGCTTATTGGACTTCCTTTTAAGGTCAAATATTAGAAATAATCTAACCTCTCTTTTTGGTTTTATTTATTTTATTAGTTCTGACTTAAAATCAGCCATTTTCAAAACGTAAAGGAGCAACAGGTCTCACACTGCTCACACAGGTCACCATGTGGTGGACACTGAAGCTTCAGTGTTTATCCAGCTCTGCTTCGGTCTGTAAACCTTTCTGTGTTCTAACCTCTCTCCATTTTTCAAAATCATCTCCAATATTGATCCTAGCTTGAGCACGTTTCTGCTCGTGGAGTTTATTAGAAACATGCAGAGGCTTTTTAGGTCGGGTACAATCACTTCTATCTGAACCACTTCTCTTGCCCGCTTCCATCACTGCAACACCTGTTGACCTGATAACTGCTCTCATATCTGACAAACCGAGGGGTGTCCAAAACGGCCGTGTGGGGGTGCCTTCAAACCGCCTACCTTCTCTGGTCCAAACAAATCCAGATCATTCAGGACCAGAATCTAAAGTTAGAAGGAGGACATACTGGCTGCTGTATTGTTGTCAGAGAAGCCAGCACTTCAACATAGCATGTTTCCTTAATGTCTGATCAGATAGTAAGATACCTTTATCATTTCACTCACTACACATCTCACTGATTGGACCTTTAATATATGAACAGCCATCTTTAAAGCCTGTGTCGCTGTAACTGATGGAGGACAAGACCATGAGGGAGAACAAATACTGTTATAACTGGTGAAGAAATCAATCAGCTGATTCACGTTTCATTACATCAAGAGTATCAGTGTGTGTGTGTGTGTGTGTGTGTGTGTGTGTGTGTGTGTGTGTGTGTGTGTGTGTGTGTGTGTGTGTGTGTGTGTGTGTGTGTGTGTGTGTGTGTGTGTGTGTGTGTTTGTGTGTGTGTGTGTGTGTGTTTGTGTGACTGTGTGTGTTCCGGTGTGTGTGGGATGAAAGATTAGTGTGTTTACGTTGGCAGGGTGAAGTAATTACTGTTCTTACTGTAGGTGGAGCATCCCAAACACACACACACACACACACACACACACACACACACACACACACACACACACACACACACACAGCAGATGTTATCCCTGTCTATTTGTGGTGTGATTTTTTTCCTTCAGCGGAGGGAAACATTGTCGAAAACGAAACATGAACAAGACGACTTTGAAGTGACTATGAAATCAAACACACGTGTTGTTGAAAACGTTTATTCTCAGGTTGAAATTGTTTGTTATTGTGAGACTCGACGTGAATTTGTGCCTCAATGTTTTTGTTCGCAGTGAAACTGACTTCACTCCGAGGTTATTCAGATGTTGTTGTCTTTTGGGCGAGAGTCCACCGAAGGTAATGGAAAAATTCTCTCACACATCTGAAAGTTATCAGCTGCCATGACATCATCTGAACACACGGGCGTGATGACATCATACCGAGAGAGAGCGAGAGAGAGAGAGACTACAGGAGTAAAGAGAAGTTAACCCTTCAATTATTAAACCCCTTTAAACGTGAAACACCTGAACAGAAACTTCCCTTTGATCTGCACATGATTAATGACTGAACAAAGTAAAGTAGGAAATTGTTGAACATGAATTATGACTTTAAAGTCAAGGTTGGTAATTTCCTCCAGATCCACTTTTTAAAGATTTTGGTTGAAATTGTCTTTAGGTCCTGACAGAAATTAATAACTCATGTTCTCTGAAAAAGGAACAAAGAAAATCCATCATCTGTATCAGTTGTAAGTCTGTAAAAACTTCGACCAATGTCTGCCACGAGGTACCAATCTTATGAACCAATCACACGCCTCCCTGCTCTACCTCTACCTCTTGCGTGCACGAGCTCACACTCGAAGCGCGTGACAGATTACGGAGTTTATACTGTGAGTTTACTTACCACTGAATGAGACATGAGACGACGTAGCTTCTACACAATGCAAGAGATGAGCTGAGCTGGAGCAGCAGCGCATGTGCATGTAAGTGAGGGGGCGTGGCTTTAGAGGGAGCACAGAGGGAATGCTACTTTCAAAATCATGCTAGTTTTAGAAAAATGACCAACCGTGCTTTGATATGCTTTGCTTAGTTTGGCCCTCATAATGTCGAGGTAAACAAAGAATATTAAGATCATAATTCATGTTCAACAACTTCATAACTTTCTATCAATAAGAAGTAATTAGGAGGTCAAACTCTTAGTTAATGACCTGTTAGCTATAGACAATGGACATGTAGAATAATCACTTAAAAATGACTAATAAGCAGCTAGTATGCTACTAATTAGCATGCTAACAAGGGTCTAGTTTATGGTGAATATTGTGACCTTAATTGAAAGTGTTACCAAGTATTTATTCATGTTTCTATCCAGCACCGGTATATTGTGACACTAATCCATCGTTAGGTTTGTAACATTTTAGTATCTCTTTTTCTGATCTGTTTTAAGAGGGAGTGTTAGATAAGTCTGTCCCACACAGACTCTGAGGTCCCACACAGACTCTGAGGTCCCTCACAGACTCTGAGGTCCCACAAAGACTCTGGGGTCCCACACAGACTCTGGGGTCCCTCACAGACCCCCCCTCCCACCCTCCAAAAAGGACAAAAGATTGGGAACAACAGCGGTTTTAATCTTTTCTCTTATAAACAGTAACCTAAAAGCCAACACAGTGGATTAAGTGTACAGTGATTGTCTACAAGATGTCATGGAGTTCAAGTATTAAAACAAACAGTGAATACAAAAAAAAGTACCTCAACTGTGCACTTCACAGTCCCAGTTTGCACTGAGTCCGGTCTCTAGCATGTAGCTTTAGCTCCCTCTAGTGCTCACTGGTGAAACATAACATAATAACACACTTTGACTCATATTCACTGGGATTTTTCAGACATCCGTCCATCGATTGTCTGTACAGATTTTTCCTGTTTGAGGTTGCATGGGGGGCTAGATCTGATCCCAGCTGTCATTGGGCGAGAGGCGGGGTAGACCTGGACTGAACGCTAGTCGATCACAGCAGGACTAACACACAACCAGCCACACTCATATTGACACCTACGGGGCACTTTAGAGGCCCAGGAGGAGAGTCTGAATGTTGTGTTTACAAGCTGCAACAAACATTTCTACTGACTCCTCCTTTGAGGAGGGTGGTGTCACAGCTGTTTCTTTTTAAGAAGGGATCTCACCTTGAGAGAAAAAATAATAATTTCTGTACCTTAATTTGCGTCAGATTGCTGCACAACAGTCAGATGCTATTAGTGATACAAACAAGAAATGAGAGGACGCCTTCCAGCTAGTTCAGGCAGGCGACTCCAGCTGCACTGACTTTACACTTGACGTGTATCTTTATCCAAACACCTGATGACACCTCCTTCCTGGTCTCTCCCTCTCTGCTCTGTCATAGCTAGTTCTGCCCTGCACCAATACTGCACTCTTGCTCAGCCCCACCTCCACCCCAGCATCCATTTGTAGGCTCTGACTGGGAGGGTTTAAGATATGAAATCTGTGACGTGTTATTATTGAGGTGACTGTGGTAGCAGAATGTAGGTGGAGACACAAGATATGGGACTGTCTGGACGCACCTCTGTCTGATTTACAGAGGAGCGTTCTGCCTCACTGTGAGGTTGGTATCCATCACTGCTTCTCTCTAAATGTGTCCCCCCCTGAGGCTCAGGACCCGAGCTGCACCACTGATACCCCGGCACCATCGTCAGGCTATACAACGGGTTCGGGAATAAACTCCTGAGTGGAGGGTGGATGGCCGAGGAGGGTTGTGGGATGCAGTTTCTCACAGGCTGGTTGTAGTAACCCTTCTCAGTTTGTGTGTGTGCAGAAACATTCTGGATCACATAATCGTTCACTGGTGCTCCTGGTTTGTGCAGCTCTGGGACATCCATGACATCAGCCTCGCTGTGGGGGAACTGATCCACACGAAGATGATGACATCGATTTTCACCCTTAAAAAAAAAAAAACAGACAAATATCTCACAACCATTGAAAACATTGGAGGTATCTGAGTGTGCAAAGGCTGAAAAACCAAAAGTTACACAACAGAAAGATAAACACCAAATATCAAAGGATTCCTTCTACACTGTCTTTCATTCCCTAAAGTCTCACAAGCTACATACTTAGCTCAACTCAGTCAGAACCCACCAGCTGTTTTCTAACTGATTTGGCCTTTGGGGGAGAACGCCAATATTGCAAGACTTCTGGTTTGGCCAGCAGCTTTTTTGGTGCCCTGGTCCTGGTGGTTCCACAGGATTCATTTGGATTAGAATGATACACATTTGAACTTCCACCTTTTTGCTATCAGGGATCAGATAATACAGCTCGATTTGTACTTTAGTGCTCTAAACATAGACCGTGTAAAGCATGGGCGTAGTCTCAATGACGTCTCAGCCTATCTTTTGATCGACCGTAACCCTAACAACAGACAAAGAGGTGGAGCTGAGACGGCCTTAAGATTCCTGACAAACCGCTACAACATGCCCGCTTGCAGTCATATCAGCCATGCCACTTTTTAGGAACTCCTAGCCCTTAAAACAGATGAGTTATAGGTTTATAGGAGATACTATAGGTGTCTTTAGGAAGCATAGGGAGGCGTTCAGAATCTCCACCTTAATGTAGTGGAGGAGGGTTTTGTATGTCCAAGTGAACCAGGTAGCTGTGTTGTCCGTGGGCACTAGCCCCTTGTAGGGTCCTCCAAGGCTAAATTGTACCGGGGGAAGATTTCAACAAATCCCCTTTAAAGTGGAAGAAATAGGTAACAGCCACCTCACTCGGATGATGGAAACCCAGGAACCCCCCTGGAGACAGACCTGAGCATCAACTGGCTGGCCTTACCTCCATGGAGCCAAGTAGAAAGAACTACATGGAGCCACGGCCCTGTAGGCCAATCAACCACAGGGAGGGGCATGGAGGTCGGGTGCATTCTCAACCAGGTGGCAGGAGAAGGCAGGGCCTGGGTGCTAATCCCTGGCAGCACTGACTGGTATGACTATACTATTTTCTATGTTTCTTAGTGTTTGGTAAGAGTAAACTGACCTTCATGTGTACATTTAGTTTATTGTCCCTTTAATGGAAGAACCTACCGTTGTCAACCATTTGTCCCTCAACACCGGCGTTGGTATCGGAGGATAGACCTTGTGTTTGATACTGTAGGACGTAAGAATGGATGAAAAATTAATTTAATTTCATTAAACTTCATCAAAGGTGACGATTGATCTTACTGTGTGGAATTGTGAATGTGTTGACCTTCTTACCATGACCAGTGTCTGAAGCAAAGGATGGTGACGAGGGAGAGGAGTCCGAAAACAGCGACCAACGAGACGCAAACGATCTCGATCAGGTTATCAGCTGGTGAAACGACCAGAAAAAACACCATCAGATGAAGTTTTCAAAATTTTGTTTGACTCCAGATGAGTGACTTCCACACGTTCAAAGAGAAGAGAGGAAACATACTCAGAGAGTTTAAGGTGGCGGTGATGGTTGTGGTTCCCTCCTCTCCAGCTGCTGTCTTTGCCTTCACTGTGAAGGTGTAGGTGTTGATGTTGAGGTTTGTTGCTGTCAGACTGGAGGCCTTAGGATCGTCTACACCGGGAGGAAGAGACACGTTTTTCAAAGAGACCAATAAGCATCCAGCTCACAACCCTTCTTGAAAACGAGCATTTTAAACACTTTACTATGCAACGTTTATGTCACGGGCTTTATGTGAAGGGCCTTTTCTGTGTGGTTAGGGTGCTAGCATGAGCAGAGGGTCCTCGAGGCGGGCGGCCCAGGTTTGGGTCCGACTTTAGCCATGTCATTCCCCACTCACTCTCTCTCTGTCCCTGGTTTCCATCTGTCCACTATCCTGTCCCTCAAATAATGGCATGAAAAGCTTTGTAAGCTATGAAAAAATAATTTTAAAACTATTCCTATGAAGTCGTTAATATTACAATGTTTTCATCAATGTAACATTTACTCATATATATATAAAGAGAGACAGAAAATGCTGGAAAGGAGAAAGCGGGCGATGACACACAGCAAAGGGCCGAGGTCGGATTCAAACCCACGGTCGCTGCAACAAGGACTGTATCATTACTAACAGGCCATCCGGCACCTCGTTCATGAAGGTATTTTATATAAACCGTTGCCTTGCATGTTTTTAAACTGCTTATGAAGGCAGAAGAACTGGAGTTGTGTGTTGCAAAGTATATCAAAGATTAATTTTAATATTTTGATCTCGCCCCCATTTTTACTTATTTCAGGGTCTAAATAGCTGTAAGTTTATTAGTATGAATATTCATGAATTTATTTGTCTTTAATTTTGTGGATATATAATTTTACTTTCTTCCATCTTAGGGTAAATCTTCCTTTAGGTCTGTGTAGCTGTAATGCATGTGTAAGACACCTCATAGCTGCAGTTATATTTGGATAGAAGCCGAGTGAATGCTGTAATATAATTTACTGAGACTGAAATGTAGATGTCTGACATTTACAAGTCAAGGTGATGTCATCTTTCTAGCCTTTTAGAAGTGTACCTGCTAATAGAATATAAACAAGACTGTTAACAAGAAAAGTTTGTCAGCTATGTTTGTTCTGTTGCTGTTGTCTGACCTCGGCCGAATAAATCCTAAATAATCCACAGTCAACATTTACAGCAGAAACACGCCCATCCAACAAAGTTTTTAATTAGCTCCAGCAGACTGCCTGCAGCAGTGAAACAGGCTGTAATGGCTGCAACGTGATCTGTGGAAGCAAATGCGTCCAATCAAGGTAAGTCCACTTAAAGTTGTTGTTTTGGATCCTTTCTCTGAAGATGTCAAGACACTTAGAATAACAAACTGAGCCTGCAGGGACAAAAACAACAACTTTTAGTGGATGCACTTTGATCAGTTTTGATTTAAAGTCGTTTCACTGCTGCAGCCTAAAACAATCTACTGGAGCAGTGAATAAACTTCTTTACCTACTCATCATTTTCACCTCAAGAAGTGCCTCAGTTTAAAATACAGCACCACAGTGTTTTGTACAAACATGATTGTTGCTCCTGAAGGTCAGAGTGAGATATTTATTAGGAGTATTTAAGACAATTAGCAGTAGTAGTATCAACAGGGTGTCACACTACCTGTGCTGACGCTGAGAACTTTGTTGTTGTTGTTGTCAACATAAAGCACGTATCCATAAATGAAAGCGGGCTGGTTTCTTAAAGGTACAGGCTCCCAGGATATCTCAACGTCTGAGTCGCGCTGGTTCCATTTCAATGACTGAAACAGGCTGTCTTCTATTCCTGACGGAGAGAAATATGTGTGAATCATTGCTTGGGGAAAAAATTATTTGTTGAAATGACACGTCTGTTAGGAAAACAGCCGCTTACTTTTCTCTTCAGTATATCCTTCCCTCCGTTCTAAAAACACTGGAGCTCTGTTTGTGCAGGCGTACACCGACAGAGAGTATCTCACTCCAGCTTTGAAACTTTCTGCGCTTAAGAAATATCAAAATGAGACAAAATGATGCAACAAGAATGCAATCATGTGTCACTGTGGGTGTTGGCAAAGATTAAGACTCACTTGAAAACACTCTTGTGTTTGTCACATTTGGAGGCACTTTCAGCCACTCCACTCGGCAGTTCTCTGACGCAGGACACCAGTCCACCACGTATCCACAGCTGGCTGCAGAGCTGACAGACCAGGACAGATTGAAGCCGCCATCGCTGCCAATTATTCCATCAGTTTCCACATTGGTTATATCTGGAAGAAACACTGTTAGGAATTTTAATTTCTAGTCTTAGTGCAATGGTTCTCAATTCCTCTAGCCTCAGGACCCACCACCGACTCCTCCATGAGAAATGGGGACCCAAATTTCTGATATTTTTCAACCAATCAGATTGAATTAATGAAAATGTTCTACCCTGCAGTTGTATGTCGTTTAAGTTTAAACGACATACAACATATATATATTATATAACAACGTATGTTGTACTCACACAGCTCTGTAAGAGTCATACCTGATTTACGTCTGGGGATGACGATGGTTGTCGGGGATGAGCTGCCGTTTATATTCCTGGCTGACACAGTGACGATGTGCTCCTCAGTGGGGTCGAGAGTGAGGGAAACGCTAAGAAAGTTGTGATCCACTTTGGTTTTATTCAGCCGCTCTCTCTCTGCGTTCTCTGTCCAGCTAACTTCATACTCTAAGATGTCTCCATGACTCTCGTTGGACTGGGGTTCCTGAAGAGATAAAACATCAGGAATTTAACTGAACTGGCAAAAACAGAAACAGATTTTTTAAATTAAAATCTTTTACATAATACAAAAATATACAGATTTTTTAAAAGTACAAATTTACTCCTTGTCTGGTCTTTGTGGAAGACAAGACAGGAAAGACTTTAAAATTCTTGTTTTTTTTTATTAATGAAGTTCTGACCAAGCATCTCTCAAGAAACCTCAGAAAAGAGAATCTTTCAAATATAATTAAACAACCAAGCATGTCACAAAATTCTTCCTCAATTGAAAGGAAGACACGTGTCCTTCATCAAATACATACAAGCTTAAAAATAGCAGTGCCTCCTCTATTTGACTTACTTTCCAAATAATCACAGTTTGGTTATCCCTCGCCTGCATCCACACGTCGAGGGCATCTGGAACTGTGGGACAAATGGACAATCAGCATGCAGGAAAAAAAAGATTGCATATTCTAAAGGAAGAATGTGCAACTTTTTGATCCAGTAGATGTCTCCCTTGAGCACCAGCATGAAACCAAAACGAACTGCTGTTTGGAGACACCTCTTCCATACTGAAGCCTCCGCTCTCCTCCAGAGACATACCTCCAACCCCCTCTCCACTCGCGTTCACACAAAGGAGTTTAGCTCAAGCAGCAGACAAAATTGTCCTTCACCTGTGTCCTGCATTGTTGTGTTAGCATGCTAATGTTAGTGCTCTTTAGTTAGCTCGTAGCTTCACATTGCAGATAAATTGACACAGATGTAAACACACTTACTGTACATGACATTCAAATAATCAGTGAGTATGTTCTTCTCTCTAGTTCTTGACTAAAACAGCTTTTATACACAAGGGTAGGAGCCGGCCAGCGGGACTCGAGCTTCTCCCTCATTGTAGACAGTCATGACTCAGAGAGACTTTTACACAGGAGATACTTAATTTCTGATATATTTATGTTTAACATGTTACACATTCTTCCTTTAATGCTGCAATCTAAACACTTACCATCCCCCCTCGTGTGGAAGTTGACACTTGCGCTCCAGTTGCTCCATTTCCAGAAATGTTCTGTTGTTCCACATCTTACTGCCACATTGTAAGTCCAGTTTGGTATCAAATCAGTCACAACCACAGAAAGAAGGCCAACTCCAAAGATTTCACTCTTGAAAACACAGCATGGACAAGGATTATATTAGATTGGTACTTCTTTGTTTAGGTTCATTTTCAGGCGTTTTGCCTTTAATTAGACAGGACAGTGGATAGAATAGGAAATCAGGAGAGAGAGAGAATGGAGAACGACATGCTGGAAAGGAGCCACAGGTTGGACTTGAATCGGGCCACCCACTTGGAGGACTACAGCCTCTGTACATGGGGTACCTTTAACCACTGGGTACCTTTTAACCCAGGCTCTATTTTTACAGAGTGGCGGTCTAAATCAAAAATGAAAACGAAACATTCATGAGTTGCTCTGGTAGATTACTTCTGCTGGCGGCTGCAAAACAGTCTTTTATGGCAGATTTATATTCCTAAGTGTCAAGAGTATGTCCACCTAAAGTTGTTGTTTTGGTCACTGACAGGCTCAGGTTAGTTCAAGAGTCTGACAACTTTACTGAAGGATCCTCTGAGACCTTCACTATCTTGTTATGAGAGTAATACTGTTTTTTTAAGCAGACACAGCTGGTAAACACTCTCTTCAGAAACACCAGGGAAGGAGGGAGTCTGGAAACAGCGATGAAACTGTAGGGATACTTTCTGTTATGATGTCAGACCTTCTTTGACTCGAGTTATTGGTCTACAGGAAGTCAGCGTTCACAGCCTGTTTTGCAGCTACAGCAATCTACTGGAGCAATCAAAACTTTCCGTACCTTTCAGAAATTGAAGGCCCAAAAACATGTAAAAAATATCCAATTATTAAATATATTAGAATTCCACTTCAGTAGTTGTGAAGTAGAGAGATACCCTCCCTCTTCTGTCTACTCACCATTGTATTTGTTTCAAAATGGCTGACGTTTACTTGGCAGGTAATATTAAGATTGCTGTATCGTAGCACTTTCCACCTCCAGCTCAGGGTGACGTTTCTGGCATTCACAGCTGAAGCTGACACTCCCTCTGGAGCAAACATGTGCACTGAAACACAACAAAATACACTGAATTTATTGACTTTTAAAATATATACAGTACTGTGCAAAAGTTTTAGGCAGGTATGAAAAAATGCTGTAAACTAAGAATGCTTTCAAAAATGAAAGCTTTAATGGTTTATTTTCATCAATTAACAAAATGCAGTGAATGAACAGAAGAGAAATCTAAATCAAATCAATATTTGGTGTGACCACCCTTTGCCTTCAAGACAGCATCAATTCTTCTAGGTACACTTGCACACAGTTTTTGAAGGAACTCCGCTGGTAGGTTGTTCCAAACATCTTGGAGAACTAACCACAGAGGATCTTCTGTGGATGTAGGCTTCCTAAAATCCTTCTGTCTCTTCATGTAATCCCAGACACACTCGATGATGTTGAGATCAGGGCTCTGTGGGGGCCATACCATCACTTCCAGGACTTCTTGTTCTTCTTTACGCTGAAGATAGTTCTTAATGACCTTGGCTGTATGTTTGGGGTCGTTGTCCTGCTGCAGAATAAATTTGGGGCCAATTATACGCCTCCCTGATGGTATTGCATGATGGATAAGTATCTGCCTGTATTTCTCAGCATTGAGGATACCATTAAACCTGACCAAATCTCCAACTCCATTTGCAGAAATGCAGCCCCAAACTTGCAGGGAACCTCCACCATGCTTCACTGTTGCCTGCAGACACTCATTATTGTACTGCTCTCCAGGCCTTCTGCGAACAAACTGCCTTCAGCTACAGCCAAATATTTAAAATTTTGACTCATCAGTCCAGAGCACCTGCTGCCATTTTTCTGCACCCCAGTTCCTATTTTTTTGTGCATAGTTGAGTCGCTTGGCCTTGTTTCCATGTCGGAGGTATGGCTTTTTGGCTGCAACTCTTCCATGAAGACCACTTCTGGCCAGACTTCTCCGGACAGTAGATGGGTGTACCTGGGTCCCACTGGTTTCTGCCAGTTCAGAGCTGATGGCACAGCTGGACATCTTCCGATTTCGAAGGGAAATAAGCTTTATGTGTTTTTCATCTGCTGCACTAAGTTTCCTTGGCCAACCACTGCGTCTACGATCCTCAACGTTGCCCGTTTCTTTGTGCTTTTTCAAAAGAGCTTGAACAGCACATCTTGAAACACCAGTCTGCTTTGAAATATTTGTCTGGGAGAGACCTTGCTGATGCAGTATAACTACCTTGTGTCTTGTTGCTGTGCTCAGTCTTACCATAGTGTATGACCTGTGACATGAAACTGTCTTCCACAACCTCACCTTGGTAGCAGAGTTTGGCTGTTCCTCATCCAGTTTTAAGCCTCCTACACAGCTGTTTCTGTTTCAGTTAATGACTGTGTTTCAACCTACATGTGACATTCATGAGCATTAGCACCTGTTTATTATAATTGGTTGATCATACACCTGACTACAATCCTACAAAATCCCTGACTTTTTGCAAGTGTACCTATAAGAATTGATGCTGGTTTGAAGGCAAAGGGTAGTAACACCAAATATTGATGTGATTTAGATTTTTCTTTTGTTTGCTCACTTTGCATTTTGTAAATTGATAAAAATAAACAATCATTATTTATATTTTTGAAAGCATTCTTAGTTTACAGCATTTTTTCACACCTGCCTAAAACTTTTGCACAGTACTGTATATTTTTTAAATCTGACAAGTATAGTACCAAACAGAAAGTACACTTCATACCTCTTTTCATCAGGTCTGCTCTGTCTGTTAGCTCCCTTTTCCCTAAATTATTTTTTGCTGTTAGCGTCCAGGTTCTCTCACCGACTTCTTGAATTCTTTGAGAACATCTCCCCTTCGAACCATTTGGACAATCACTAAAACACACAAAACACCAAGAGTGTACATGTAATTTGCTTGATTTTTGTGACCAAAAGCAAACTTCTAATATGGAAGCAAAAGAAAGAAAAACAGCATTTAAAAGCAACTGAACAGCTAATTATTTTCAAAACATACACATTTATTACAAGCACCACAGGTTTGTGACCCTGTATAAAGCAGCTCTCTCAGAACACTCCGTTTTGGTGTGTGTGTCTCTTTAAATGCAATGAGCCCCCCCCTGAGTTTTCCCGGTAGACATCACTCCTTCGCTAGCCAGAATAAAAATGGCGGACTTGCGCAAAGGTTTTGCTCTAGGCTGGGGGTGGAGTCCATGGGTGGATATACCAGGGGAGGGGAGGGGATTTTTTTTTTACCAGAATTCCACTGTGACATCACAAGGAGAGCACATTTGAAATGGAGCATTGGACACAAAGGACTGGATGGGTTTATTTCACATTTTGTGGGTCGGTAGACATATGTAGATATATGTTCAGAAAGACTTTACAAGTGGATTTTTCATACTATGTTCCCTTTAACATTTAGCCTACCTTCCATTTAGCTGATACTCTGTTGAAAGCTGTCGTTTGGGCAGTTCTTTTCCAACTGTCCAGAGACAATCAACTGATTCCAGATCTTGAGTTTCACACTGAAGATCTCTGTCATCAGGACGGTCTGAATCAAGACAAATTAGAAAAGTAAAAAAAAATATTTAAATGTGATTAAGGCTCCAAATAAACAACAGAATTGTGCACAAAACAAAGTTACACTTACAGCCGATGTAAGCACACGCCCCGTAGTCGGATGTTTGGCATATTACATTGGTGCAGCTGTTGTTTGACGGCTGGTCCAGGAGGACAGTCAAAACGTACGTCTGATTGTTGATCTTTCTTGTTTTCATATTCGAATTGTTATAACCACTCATGTACATTTTGTTAAAAACTGCCCCTGCAGGCATGATGCAGCAGAAATTCCCATGACGGCCAACCTCAAACACTTTGTCCCGGGGGAAAACCTGCGGCTTTTTGGAGGCTCCTCTCCCTGAAAAAGAATCTCGATTTAGCATCAAGAGTGTGGTTAAAAGCACATTTTCATACTCTGTCATCCTAGTCTCTCCTCACACATCTTCTCCATCTTCAACATCTTCTTCTCAGGCATACCCTGGACTTTCCCTCAAGATTTCAAGTCTTTATTGTCTTTGTGGAAAACAACTAAACAGGGAAGCCTCTCCCTAAGCTGTGTAGCGCAAAAAAAACCAGCTTTGAAAAGCAGGACAAATAAGGAAAAGTAGCACTGACGGGATACCAACATTAAATAGTTCCTCTTTCTAAATCTACAGCTCTGACTTCTCATGATTCCTCTTTGGATTTCATCTGTAATTAAACCTGGATCCGCCTTCTTGTCTGCGACATGTTTAGCTGTCTGCACAATCAATCTTTGAATTCTGACCGCCTGCCTGTTTGAATCTGCCTTTGGGTCCTTCCTCTGCTTCCTGCATTCCCAGACTTTGCATTGATGTGAAAAATGACTGCAGGAATGCTTCTGAAATCAAAATACAGTTTAGTGAGTGAATTGTGTACCAGGAAGAGTCTTTTCCTGTGTCCATGGACTTGTGCGGTTGTTGTATCGTAAGCTGATCCTGACTGAGTGGGACGCGCACTCCAACGCCAAATATGGCGTCCAGCTCCAGGAGTGAGTAGATCCGATCTGATTGTGCAACACAGCCAATTTATCCTAAAACAAAAGCGAGTCAGATTAATGTTTCTTTCACCACTCTGAGGTTTTTTTAAAATTGTAAATAAACTCTTACATGATGGACTTCTTGGTCTTCTATTAGAACCACCAGCTCATAGATCAGCACGTCTCGCAGCGCAAAGCAGGAGGGGTCGTCCTGCCATGTCGACAGGATCATCTGGTCAAATTTTTCAAGTGTCATATTCTGGGGTCCACAATGCAAGACACCTGAGGGGAAAAGGAAAAGTTTAAGGAACGTACTGCTCCCAGACACTTCAATCTGTGAGGCCTTCATGAACAGAAACACATACAGCTAACTGGAGGGTCATTGGGGGTTTTGTTAAACCTGGGCCCTCTTGTTCAAATAGATTTCAGACTAAATGACAATAAGAGGAGTTTGCTCCAGAAAGCAGCAGTGAAATGCATTGAAATAGCTCCAAAATAATCCTTTGGGGCATATGTGACCGATCAAAGCACGTCCAGTAAAAGCTGTAGTTTGTGTCATTGTTACTCTGAGCGTCTGACAACATCAGAGAAAGAATCCTGACAGAGATAGACCTTTTTGTAAAAGAGGGGAAGAGGATATGTAACTGTAAACAGCCTCCAGACTCCATTCACAAAAACAGGAGGTGCCGGTCTACCTCCGCCCCAAAAATGTTAAAATGTTATGTTAAAATAATTCATTTAAACAAGTAATTTTAAAGACTCCTGTCAAACAAACTACAACTGTTACACCCTTTTTTTCCATTTGTTTAAAATATGTAGGTTGATCTGTTGCCTGCTATCGTTAGAGACTTAAGGAACGCTTCTTTGCTGAAGTGAGGAGAAGAACAAAATTCATATGGCTACACTTGGTTTGGAGGATTTGTTGCTGTTAGGAGGGAATCAAATGTGTAAGGCCTAGCCATAGACGAATCCTGTGGATGTCAAACTTACTCATAAAGTTAGCCATAGAATCACTTCACTTAAGCACTCTTTATTATCTCGTTTGGTCACACATTCATTATTGCTCTCTGGGTTAATAGATGTTTTTACCAAACAAGGATGTCTTTTTGTGTTTTTAAATTTTTTATAAAAACCATTAATATGTGGCCGCTGAGAAGATTCCCCCAGAGGGCATGAGAACTGGAGACAAACTGACCTTGTAGAACCGACCACAGGAGAGACCATTTTGCTCTATATCAGGGCACCAGCTGACTAGAAGGTTCTGGATATACCAACAGTAACCATTGAATTGAACACTGACATCAACCATTCCTCCATCCATTATCTATACTGCTTTTCCTGTTCAGGGTCGTGGGGAGGCTGGAGCCAATCCCAGCTGTCATTGGGCAAGAGGCGGGTTTACACCCTGGGCTGATAGAGACAGACAACCAGCCACACTCACATTCACACCTACGGACAATTTAGAGTCACCAGTTAACCTAACGAGCATGTGTTTGGACTGTGGGAGGAAGCCGGAGTACACTGACATCAGAATTTTAAAAATGATCATGTACCAGCTGGAAATGGGAAAATTAATCGCTGCCTTTATAAGATACATTCACAAACTAATTGCTGCTATTTGTGCCACCATCATGTTGATCAGGCACAAGGAGGAAATGGAGGTGGAGATGGAAGCAGAGGAGCAGGATTAATAGGAAAAACGTAAAGTTTCCAAGTACAACATCAAACGTTTACCTACATCTCTCCGTCATGTAATCCTGTAGACCCATGCTTTAGCCATGCAGTACTTCAACAAGTCGTTTGGTGACTCAAGAGGTCGGAAAGGGGGAACAAAATATTGAAGGTAGCTGAAGAAAGAGCAGGAACATTTAACATGGAAGAGGTTGGTGAGAATCAGAGGTAGATCCGGGGGTGGCCATCAGACCTTTATTGGTTTTTGAACCAGGCTGTAAATGTGTTAATTCATGCTGTAAAACATGCTTTTTTTGAATGGGGTGTGTATGTGACTTCAGGTGCACCAAGTGGACAGTCGACAAACTGCAGTTTTCTTTCACTTTAGCATTGGCTTCATTTTTTAACAGCAGAGGTTGCTCCTTGGAAACACACATGACATGTGCATAACGTTTTTAGACAACAGCCATGCATGAGTAGTTGGACTACAACTACAGTGGTGGACTTAAAAATTCTAGATGTAATAATTGTTTACTGGCATGACTCCCACCTCACCATCCTTTCATGCATCAGCCATTTTTTCTAAGTTTACACCTCACCGCTCTGTAGAAGGAAGAGTATGTACGCATGCATGTGCTTTTTCAATATAAAGTGACATCGCCAACTACTGGCCTGGCATGTGTACTACAGTCATTTTTGCAGATCCTTGTGCATGGTGGTTGTTTTGAAAGCGTTGCCATGTGAACCGGCAACTTTAAAAAAATCTAAAACAAAATACAATACCGTTATCAGTAGATAGGGAAGCTTCTAGCAGTGAAGTTGGCCTAGGAAGAGTGGCGCCACTGGCTTGAGGGTTCTGAGCACCGTACAAGCATTTGTGGCTGCTTGTACGGTTTGTGCCCAAAACAAGACATCACAACAGCCCCCTGCTGGTCTTCTCTAGTCTCTGCCTATCCCCCATCGCCCTTGGTCACATGTGGCCCTGGATTTTATTTCAGGCTTGCCCACCTCAAAGGGGTTCACTGTCATTCTGGTGGTAGTAGACCGATTCTCGAAGGGGGCCCACTTTATCCCTCTCTCAAAGCTCCCTTCAGCCCTGGAGACCGCCCGTCTTGTGGTCCAGCATGTCTTTTGCCACCATGGCCTTCCCCTAGACATTGTGTCAGACCGAGGCCCACAATTCACTTCCCGGTTTTGGCAGGCATTCTGTTCTCTGGTGGGTGCTTCTGCCAGTCTGTCATCAGGTTTTCATCCAGAGACCAATGGCCAGACAGAACACACTAATCAAACGCTTGAGAGAACGCTCCGTTGTCTGGTCTCCTCAAACCCATCCACTTGGAGCGATCAACTTGTCTGGGCAGAGTACGCATACAACACCTTAAAGAATGCATCCACAGGATTGTCTCCTTTTGAGTGTCAGTATGGTTATCAGCCACCGTTGTTCCCAGAACACGAGAGAGATGTGAGGGTGCCTTCCGCTGCGCAGTACATCCGGCGATGTCGTGCTACCTGGAGGTGGATCCGGACAGCTCTTCAACGCTCAGTGGCACTACAAAAGAAGTATGCTGACCGGCGTCGCCTTTCTGCACCACAATATCAAGTTGAGCAGAGGGTTTGGCTCTCTACAAGGGATCTGCCCCTGCAGGTAGAGTCACGTAAATTAGCGCCACGCTTCATCGGCCCCTTCAAGATCATTCGGAGGATTAACCCTGTCACTGTTCGACTCCTGCTTCCCCGATCTATGAAGATTCACCCCACGTTTCATGTGTCTCGCCTCAAACCAGTCTGCTCTAGTCCGCTGGTGCCAGCAGTAAGGCCACCACCTCCGCCCCATTTGGTAGGGGGCCAACCAGTCTATACTGTACGGCGCATCTTGAAAAGTCATCGAGTGGGACGGGGCATGCAATACCTTGTAGACTGGGAGGAATATGGTCCGGAGGAGCGTGCCTGGGTCCCAGCTAGGGACATTTTGGTCCCGGAACTTATTCGGGACTTTCGTCGCCACCACCCAGATGGTCCTGCTGGAACGTCAGGTGCCGTTCCTTAGAGGGAGGGGTCCTGTAAGGACACACTCTCTGGCTTCTCACTGGGGTTGGTGACTGAATCACTTAAGTGCAGAGTCAGGTGTATTTGTGGCTGACTGGCCTTGATTAAAGCCAGGTGTGGGAAGCTTATTTATACTCCTGGAATTCAATGCTCTGTGCTGACTCATTATCTCACCTTCAGAGTGAGAGGTTCTCCCTGTGTTGTCTCTATTTGTGTATTTGTGTCTATTGTTAGAATAACTTGGGGTTCTGGGTAGTTGATATACCCCAGCCTTTTGTGTTGAGTTTTAAGGCCTCCCTGGCAGCCTTTCCTTGAATTGTTTCCGGGTCTCCCGGACAATTTAGTTTCGAGTCAGCTGCTTGGCAGCAGTGGTTTAGTTAATAATTTTCGGTGCATTAGTTAGAATGGTGTTTTGGCTCTTTGTTCCCTACCCCCCTCCAATCTATCGCTTGCGATTTTTGTGGTTATCCTTCTTGGATAACTTTAAGACACCTCTGGGTCCACACATGTGTTCCACTTTCCCATTTTCCTGACAGTAATAGTGGCCTTAGACGGTCAAACCCAGTCATCAGCCCTTTTTCCTTCAGCCCCGTTTAAAGGGGGATGACTAAATTGCACCAGTTTTTCCAGCAGTGCATTCTTTACATACTTTCACTCTGTCTATTCATGGTGCTAACAATGTGTCAGTACAACTTATTAAAAAGGATTGCACTGTTAGAAGCAAACATGAAAAGTAATATAAATAGGCTGAATACCCCTTCCTATCATGAGTGAATGTAAACAAGTTTGGAGCACATCGTATTCTTAAAGGAACAGTGTAACTTCACACTAAATTCACTTGACAATCTGGAGACATTCATGTACTGAGACAACATCTGCAGGTTTTTAGAAGTGATTAAAAAAGACTTACTTACCTTTTTCTTTCCCAATTCCATCTTGTGTGCTTTGGTAAAACAGTGAGACAAACAGTAATAACCACGAGATCATTATAGTCCTCCTCATTGTGGCTGATTGTGGTCCGCGTTTGGTTTGGTTGTTTTCAGCCTTTTCACCATAAAAATCCTCTGATTACACCTGAAAACTGTGGACATAAATATCAGTATACCTGCCAAAAGATACTCCAAGGACAAATTAGGTAACTTAAAATTCTTACATGTGGGACTCTGGCTGGTTGCTTCAGATCCTGCACAGAGAATAAGTTTACTCTAACGTCTGTTAGGCCTGAGAAACAAGGAAAGAGTAATGGTATCAAGTTACAGAAGCTTAACTCCCTTCCAAAGAAGCCAGTGATGCATGCTTACAAAATGCATTTGTGCTGGAGAGAGAGAGAGAGAGAGAGAGAGAGAGAGAGAGAGAGAGAGAGAGAGAGAGAGAGAGAGAGAAGGAGATGTTGTGAAATCCATGTGGACCTCAGAGCAGGAAACAGAGAGGCAGCTTCTGGTAATCATGAGTCACTCTGATCTGATCAGACATGCAAGTTTGTATTCCTTAGTTTCTGGATGTAGTTGCTCTTTTTTCTACAGAAGTAGAAGTCAAGTCCTCTGAAGGTATTATTTTAATGACTCACGCAGCCAGCTGGAAAACACTCGTCATCAGTCTCTCCTGAAACCTTTCATCATGCAGACAAAGGAATTCTGGGATCCAGAAAGTTTTAAATGGAAGTCAAACAAGACGGGGTCAGAAAGCTGATAATGTTACAAAGAAACTAAAAGTTCAAACAATAGTTAAATACATGATACCCTGCACCATGTGATGTGTGAAACAGTATGACCGTCCTTCTTTTATAGATCAAGGATGAATTCATTTTTAATACGTTTTGGATTCATGTTGACTTATTTCACAGTAAGATTATTACTATATGGATGGATGATGGATGGATGGATGGATAAATAGATGGATGATGGATGATGGATGGATGGAGGGATGGATGGATGATGGATGGATAATGGATGGATGGCTTCAAGCTTGAAAAAACTCGGTTTTCAGAGTCATAACAGTACCTGTTATGACTCTGAGGAGCTCAGAGTCATAAGGCTTCATGCCAAATACCTGGGAATGGATCTAATCGTCTACAGCTGTGTGGTGATCTCATTGTGTGGAGAAGGAGCAGCAGGAGAGGGAGACAGAGGAGACGTGACAGGATGAGGTTTGAGAGTTCAGACTGAGAAGTGAGAGTAAGAGTCGAGTGTCTGAGAGCGGGGGCTAGCTGTGACACAGACAGGAAGCTCTCAAAGGTTTGAGAAACACGCTAGGTTTATTCCTAGCACTTAGGGTCAAGGCAAGCTCTATGTGCAGGACAAAAACAACAATTGCGGTTTGAGCAGATAAATGAGTGTCATAGACACAAAGCTTCTAAATGGGACCATCATTTAGTCTTTTCATCCAATAACTTCTAACCATAAACTTAAAGCTCTACCTTACCTTCACCTTAACATTGACCCCATTCTCATTCAATGCTAAATCAGCATCCGACCTTGAACTGACTGTTACCTCAAGTCTTATTCCATGTTTATCTTTAACACACAGACGCCCCAAATTTAGCAATATTAAGCTCAGATGTAGACTAAACAGCAAATACCTATCACATATGAGCCTGATGAATACACTGCTAAGATTAAAAGAAGTGAGCAGAGAGCTCCATAAGTATATTAAAATAAAGAGATTTTGTCTTATACCAGAGCACAATGCTTCTTCACAGAATCTTCATGAGATCTCCATCTTGATAGTCATTGTATCTTTTATGTAACAAGGTCCCTTGACTCTGTTGTGTGTGAGATGAAGATGACAGGGCAGAGCTACAAATAACAGGCTAGGCAAATTTAGCGGCGTATTTATATATACTCTACTGTAACTCCAAAACGGTGAGATTAAATTAACTCTAGTTTTGTACTTTAGTATAAATTACAGGTCCTACTACTTTAGTTATATACTGTACCTTGATATTCTGGTACTTCCCAAGGAGTAACATATTTATTACTGTCCCCACTACATGTGTCTGACTGCTTTAATTGTGCCTTTTGTAATAATAAAACTGAAAGTGAAAGGATTAAGTAATCCCTTTTGTTTCAATTCTTCTAATCCTTGTCTAAATTTAAAAAAAGTCATCTTGGATAAGCTCTTAAATGTTTTATTTCAAGGAAGAAAACTATTTTCGACAACTGCAACACTCCGACAATATGATGATCTTGAAGAATTTAAGGAATCAATGGTAAATGGACTTGAGCTTGTATAGCGCTTTTCTAGCCTTTGGACTACTCAAAGCTTTTACACCTCATGCCACACTTCCCCATTCACACACATTCATACACTGATGGCAGAGGTTATGTAAAGTAAAGTGACTATCAGTATAATCCCATTCACACACATTCATACGCCACCGGGAGCAATTCAGGGTTAAGTGTCTTGCCCAAGGACACATTGGACCTACTGTATAGCTGCAGGAGCTGGGGATTGAACCTCTGACATTCTGGTTGAGAGATGACTGGCTCTACCACCTGAACCACAGCCGCCCCTAACACAATAAATGTCAAAACAATAAAGTACTTTTACTGAGTCTGTTTTACTTCCTGATGTATAAAAAGCCCTTTGTGTTGCGTTTACTTGTAAATCTGATCGATGAGTCATTGACAGGAACTTGGTTTTTGCTAAATCAGGAAAGATTTGTTTCAACATGAGATCGCAGGACTGCGGTGTAGAAGAATATTTCAAAGTGTGGCCTTTGCATATTACCCAAATACTTCTTACATCACTGCTCCCTATGTAGTTATTTACAGTCATTGTGAGGCTTCTAGTTTTAATAGTAACATAAACTTTTAATCCTAAACCTCAACAAGTTGTTAATTTGACGATTGAAAACACACATACACACATACACACACACACACACACACACACACACACACACACACACACACACACACACACACACACACACACACACACACACACACACACACACACACACACACAGCGCTGTGCTCCCCCGCTGGCTCTGATGATCCCATCTTGTAACGCCTCTGAGTCTGAATAGAGTTTTAGTGAGCAGCCTGTTAGTTCTAGTTTCTACGTTTATTACGGGGGACAAAACGGCGCTGTTACCTTGAGAAAATAAATAAGCCTAAATAAGTGAAGATCTAGAGAAAACAACTGAAATCAATCTTTATCAATGAAAAAATGTAGTTAATAAAATGTATTGATTCATGTCCGCTTGCAGCTTTTGTAACAATAAACCCATTTTTTACTTTAGTCCCCCGTGTAGCTGCCTATTTTGTCAAATTTCTAAAGACATTACAAGCAATATTGTCAGGCTTAAGGGTCCGTTATTTATGTTTTCCTAATTTGTCTGACTATTTAAAACCCCGCCCCATGTGAAAACAGCAAGAGTGTATCATGTCCTCTACTTTGTATAAGATGATAAACACTGCTGAACTGATGTGTCAACTCCAAGAATGAATCACCTCCCGACCACAGATCGTGAAGCTGAGACATAAATAATATATTTAAAAAAGCCCTTGTTTCCCTTAAAGGGGTATTACACTTATTTGACCCATTAAAACCAGTTTGTTTGTTAGTTAAGATCCCCATTAGCTCCTGTACATTCCAGTTTAACTCTCAAAGTAGGTGTTAGAATTATTCAGGCTTTCAATCGAGGATTAATTTATTTTACACCTAGTCTTAAAAGCTAAATCTTAAGGAGAATAATCAGAATTTTAAAATCACACAAACATTTGGAACAAGCATAAAGGTCGTCATATCCGTTTTTTTCTTTATGAATCAGCCTCCGAGAGCCCTGAGAGCTTCATGAATCTTTTAATAGATGCAACCTTCACATATTTAGAGCCAAACATGACAAAAAAAACTAGAGTTTGATTTTCAAAAAGTCAGCTTTTTATTTGAGAGGAAGTGTTGGACAGTTTGTACAACTGTCACATGCTCTGTGTTATTATGCAATTTCCTCTCAAGTGTCATGAGGTCAAACTCTACATTCACTCGTTGAACCTCCTCCTTGAACACGCTGTGTGAAACATATTTTACGTGCTGAGCTGCACACTGGCCAACACAAGTCGCTCCGGTCAATCAGACATCTCTCTCTCTTTGAGGAAGATTCAGTGATTTTGCAGCTTAAAAATGTTTAAAAAAAATTAATCTCAACAAAGATTAGCAGCTTGGCACTTTCAAAAACTATATAATATCATCATCATCATCATCATGTCATACATGTCACTTTAAAACAAAAACTATCCTATTAGAAGGATTTGATTCAGACTCTATAGACTCCCAGTAGTTGTATGAAAAAAAAAAAACAGCAATCGAGAAACCAACACTACAGAGCCCACTTGGTGTTGTACAGTTCAGATTTTACATATGAAAGGTGAATTCAGAGCTCAAAGATGAATACATTAATTCAATACAATGTTACTATTCACTTAGTCAACCCTTGTATCCAAAGCAACATACATCAGAGAGTAAGTACAACACTAATCCATTTATATATCACCACTGAAGCAGCAGGAGTAATGTGAGTAAAGTGTCTTGCCCAAGGACACATCAGACACGTTGCTCAGCTGGGGATTGAACCCTTGACCTTCTGGTTAAGAGGCGACGACTCTACCAACTGAGCCACTGCTGCCTTGTGAGGGGTATGGATTTAGCATGTCTATGTGGCCGTACAGTATGTGCACAGGTAGAATTAAAAACTTAAAGAAGCTATAAAAAAAAAAAAGCCACCAGGAAAGAAATGAGACTTCTGATGCATCCCTTTAGAACAAAGCCTGATTTAGCCTGATTTCAAGTAGCCTCGTAGCCTGCAGGAGCCTGACATGCACCTCCTCAAAAATTGAACTACACGACAAAACTATGCAGACTGCAAGCCCTGTGATTGGTCCACTGGGGTAGCAGCGTATTGTCTACGGTCATATAGTGGTGCACTCTGGTTTGGCATAAATGACTGTGGATGACGAATTCCCCCGAACATATCTGAATTTCCTCACCCAGGTCTCTCAGTGGCCGAACAAGCGCAAAAAGTTCCCTCGCCCTCAACTGATTCAGTTCCCACACGTTCCATCTCCTCCGATGTCTCCTCTCCTTTCTTCTTTGCAGTTATTAGAGTATAATCAACTGTTGCTCCGTATCTAAAAACACTCGGTTTTTGTTGCCATGGTTTCCTGTACACAAACAAGCAGAGAATGTGGCAGGACCGCAAACTGGGGATACAGCGAGCACAGAAACCGTGCTTCCAACAGTTACAAGTATGAAGTGCTCACTACGGGGTAGAGTGGACGCAGAAGTATGAATTGGGTTTAAAAGTGGAGGGATGGAGGGGTTGGATTGATACAATCTAGCTCAAAATGTAAACTTTGTACAAGATAAATGACTGTGTAAGAGCATTACAAATTCATTTTTACTGCATCTGTTGTCTCCCCAACAGCCACTCAGGATTCTGCAGCATTCTCAGTGCAGCCGGAGGACAGAGGGGCGCTTAAGGACCGGACCAAGACTTTAATAATCAGTGAGTAATGCTGTTTTCACACATGCACAAAACATCTGAAAATGTACAGAAGTTTCCGTGTGAGCTGCATGTGTGAACGCAAACGGACAGATTGTTCAACCTGAAATTACCCCGACTGCTTCCTGCTGGTCCCTCTAGTAAAGTTTCCACAAGAAGTCGTGGTGAGCCGATTTGAACGCAGCCAGAAATATTCCGTCCCTATGCACTGAAAATGCCCTCAAATTACATGAAGCATTGATATAGAGCCAAAAAACATCAAAAAGCATCAGTGACCCTCTCTGATTCCTGCAGCGGCTTTTTAACGTCTTGCCCGCCTCCAAACTGCACGCTGTGAAGGATATGTGCGAATAAGCAACTCAGGAAGACTTAACAGGCAGACAGTTTGATCTTTCCTCAAAAGGGGTGCATGTGTGAACACAGCTTTAGTGTACAAATTTTCAATTATCTGGAATCGTTTTAAAATCCAGATGCTTGACTTTTAAGTTTCCGAGAGAGAGAGTTTATTAATCATAAATATGGTTTATTTAAAGTCTGTACAAACAGCAGAAACTACAGCGTGACCTCAGATGGACTCAGTGCGTCAACCTGCAAATCAAAATGATCCTTTTTAAGTTATTTCAGAACGTCAGCCATGTTAACCTTAACAAAGCAAAATGTCCCCTAATGCAGCATCGAAAGAGAGAATATAAGAAAACATTGATGCTCATGAGTATTAAGATATTTTTGGTTACACTGTAAACTGCATGTTCATTTAGAAGATTGTGTTCTTAATACTTTCACAGTTTTCCTAAAATTAGACCACAACATTTCTATTCTTCAACAGTTAAGTGATTTAAGTGGTTCAAGCCTGATTGGTGATATGTTTCTTGCCTTGCCATAGCCCTGTTTTAAGTTTATTTTGAAACAATGGAGTTGTAAACTTGGAGGTTCAAACCAGATTCTTGCTCCACAAACAGTTCTTGATAATAGAATTAAATGAGCGCTGGATGCTGTCTCATTGGACGATATTTTGACAGTAAATTATTGATTATTATTGATCGATGCAGGCGTGTGCTCTGCACCACAGGAGAATCAGTGAACATCATTTAAAGTGCACAAGGATCAATAACACAAAGACATAAGACAACAAAAACTAATGCAGACTATCAAGTGAAGTTTGGTTGTTGTATGGCAGGTGTCACATGTCAACTCATGCTGGGATGCTCTCATAAGCCCCGTTCACACAAGCACAAAACTCCTAAAAAGTTGCATGAACTTGAATTTTGCAAACAGCCAAAATGTTCAGAGTTATTCCCGCCAGCCCCCCTGACAAAACGTCCTTGTGAAGTCAGGGTGGACCAATGTGTAGAAACAGCAGAATACATTTAGCGATCTTTGTGCCGGTAATGAAACTGCTTCTTCCTCTTTTCTGATCGTCAGTATGTTCTCTTCTGCTTTTTCCTTTAAACTGTGATACATCCAAATGAATGTAGGCTCATGTCTTGCGTCCTGAGAATCCTATCTGACTGGGAAAACTTCCCGCTGTGTGAACAACTCAGAACGATTTAAGTGCACGTGTGAAAACAACTTTAGTGAATAACATCAGATTACTTCCTTTTCAAAACACCTTGTAAACGACTTAAAATAAAAGTAGTTTTAAAACCCACTGCAACGAGAGAACAGCCTGAAGTGCAAACTGAATAAGTAATGGACTTTCACTTTCAGAGCTTGCTTGCATAATGATAGAGTAGACACTGATTCTACCTCTAGAGAGCAGAAATAACCTGCAGCAGACTGTTTTCGAAGTCCAACAAATATGCATCTACTGCAGCTGATGTATTCTCCTATAGACAGAATTATAAAATGATTTTCTGTGAAATAAAGACATTTATGAAATTAGATGTTCTTACACGCCTGGCAGGAAGGGGCTGTCGATGTCACTAAGCGGGGGATTTAATTCTGGGACATTAAATGAGCCTTTAACCTCTTCTTTTGTTGAGTACGATCACTTCCTGAGGGTAAAATTTTGTGCTTCCTGATGAACTAAATCTTAAAAACTGGATTCAAATAATTATTTAAATGCAGCGGTTCATTTAAGAAACCTAAGTTGTGTTTTTAAATGTGTTGATTATTCTATAGATGTTAATTTAGCCGCTGTAATAAATATCTAACTGACAGGCCTCGTGGTCTAAAGGCCGGCTTGGTGTGTGATTTATTTACATGAATAAAAACACCTCTCCTCCCTCTGATTGTGTCACACCCTGCTGAGTTCTGACTAATCTGTGCGTTCTGAGGTCGCTGATGTCTGAAGGACTTTCACAGTTTAGCTCGTGGAGTTTGTTCCAGCAGAGTCCTCAAGTCCAGCAGAGCGTCCTCCACGGCCTGAGCCAGCTGTGCCGCACTCGTTTCTTTACAGGTGTTAAAAGACGACACGGCGAAGTTGATGTGGTCCTTCATGGGATTGTAGCAGACGCCGTATCCGTTCTGCACGACGGGGCCAAAACACATGACGCAGTCGGCTTTAGCGGGTACCTAAAGGATAAAAACGGAGCGGTTAGATGGCAGACAGTTCAGGCTAAAGGGTAAAAACCTTCTACTACATGGCCTGCTCGTACCTGACTCGTAGACAGCTGGTAGTGTAAGGCTTTGCCGTAGGCGGGGTCTTTGAAGAGCTCAGGCACGGACAGGTTTTCTTCCAAAGCCTGCAGCTTGAGGCCCAGCAGGTGTCGGTCTATGGCCTGACCACTGATCGCCTGTAGGGGGAACATTTTTACATTATTTGTGTAATGTCACAAGATATAAGCTGCAAGAAAATAATGCTTACATTATTCTCAACGTATTATTTTCATTCGTTTATATTTGCATTTGAGGCACAAGTTCATTCACAGTGACTATTATAGCAGAAAGCAGAAAGCATCATGAGAACATGGAAAGTGTTCTCCTGACAGTCAAAAAGTTGAGTCATGTCACTGACTGTGGACGCCATCTTTTCTACTAGTTGAGTAAAATTGAAGTCCTAAGCAACCCATATTGAGTCATTTATTGTTTAAATAACCAAAACACGCTCCTGCAAACTATCTGAATTGCACAAACACATTGCCAATGTGTAATTTAGACAGCGTTTTCTCTGTTTTACACAGAGCAGCTTCAGGTTAAACATATGACTGATGATCTGTAGATTATTTTTTTAAAGCTTCAGTAAATTAAAGTCGATCGTTAAAAATGGAGATTGAATCGTTTTAATACGTGGTATAGAAAGGTATCAGTGTTTTATAAAACAGAGACCTCACAGCTCAAGTTATTTTTTAACCATAAGGAAAATAGTACGTTTCTTAGAATACAGCAGCAGAAGAATCAAACTTTAATGAAACATGGAGAACTATCGGCCACAGGATGATGTATGTTGGTTTGAGTACAAAAAAAATGTGTGTTTATGGTGATAAAGGGAAGATGGATTAAGTTAAATAAAAATCATAATAATAACATAGAATAAAACCAGACTAATCCTCTCTCCTCTGCAGACGCTGTTTGTACTCACCATGTTGGTGTACGACCTGTGAGCGGTCACAGCTTTCACCATCAGATCAACCTTCTCTGTGTTCTGTGACGAGCAGGAACAAACAGGACTGTTATGACACAACTTAAAGAAGTTTAACAACGTTCAAATCTATTTGAAATGTTGACTTGAAAACACTGAAATTCTACGAGGTTCAAAATCCTCAGAACACCTCATCACTTTCGCTCCATCTCTGTTTCTATCTGATTGTGTCACAAGGCTCTGTTCAGCTCAGTATGACACACTGGAACACACTGGTTGAACAATAAAAGCCAATGGTTACAATGTCAGACAGTTTGAGTTGTAATCTCTAAACTTTCCCCTCTGATCAGACCTGTTTGTTTGGATCATCAAAAGCTTTGACAAAAGCGGCCGAGGCGTTGGAGGCCGATCTGATCGTGTCCGTTCGACCCAGTCTGAACATTCGCAGGGAGGCGCTTTCATATGTGGCACAGCAGCGCTGATACATCCTGCAGACACACAAGGAGAGAGGCGATGTGAGTCATCAGGGTGAAGACAAATAAAGCAGCTCAGAGAAAAAAAAAGTTTGCTCCAGAGGCTTTTCTCAGTCAGTTTGGTCTGAGCAGCAGGGGGCAGAGGACAGAAACATGCAACAGGATCTCACCTGTAGTAAGCCAGTTGTAGAGCTACCTGGATGAACGCATCTGGACTCATCTTGTGCGACTTCGGAACCTCTTTCCCAAAGTGTCCAAATACGGTGACCCTCATATCCAGGTCGTCCACCAGGCTGTGGAGGGGCAAGACGAGGAGCCAAGTGAGACCGGGTCAAAGTACGACAACATCAAAAATAAATGTAAATAAATACTTAATACACTTCTGTCGCTTTAATATCCACCCTCACATGTTCATGTTGTGTTTGGCTTCCTCGATGTCCTTCTTGATCTCCGGCGTGATGTTGAAGTGAAGTTTCTGGGGCATGGGCAGAGGCACCATGGGAGATCGAGTCATCTCTGGTTTCCCTCTGTGAGCAGCAACATGAGAGGAAAAGAAGATACTTAAAACAAGGTAGGAATAAAAAACAGAAATATACATGTAGTTTCCTGATTGTGATGCGTGGAGCTCATTTCTGTATATTTGTTGCTGACCTTTTAAAGAATCAACAAGAAGGAGAAATGTAAAATGTTCCACGGTAGAGACAAATTCCTCTGTGACCTACTTACGTGTATTCTACAACGTGGTCGATCAAGGCCACTATGGGGGGGCCCTCAGCTGGAGCGTGCTCGTAGTTCGCTCCACACGTCCCGTCCTCTCCAACAATAAACTGAAACACAAACCAAACTATTTAGTTTGTAAGTTATCATCATCATAATATATAAACATGAAGAGTTTCATTGTTTTATTAGAAGTCTCACTGACCTCGACTCCTTGATGAGAGGTTAAAGTCATGTATGGAGTTTTTATTAACAAGTTAATGTAATCAAACTGAATAAATAAATGCTTCTAAATGATAGATCTTCTGCACACTTTCCTTCAAAACCCTGACCCTCATTTAAGAATTGTCCCTGCTTAAACTTCATTTACTTTGCTTGTTTTAAACTGGTATGTTTTGGGGGACAATTTTGCAAAATTTGGAACCGAAATCAAGAAATTGTTTTGATTAAAGATGAGATAAACACACAGAACTCTGAGTGGTCACTTTATTCCTGGGAAGACGTTTCAGTGCTTTGAACACTATCGAACACAGAGCAGCTCTGCAGGAAATGTTTTGATTGTAACTTATGGAATGCTTTTTCTCACACCATTTCTACTTTTTTTTTGTGAAAAAATAAGCCTGACTTTCAGACATCTACTACTTATTTTGCTTCATGAATCACCTTTTGCTTGACGTGGAACTACTGTAGAGATGTTTCAGTACATGTAAAGACTTTCCAGGTCTCAAGATTATATGCAAAAAGTTAGAATGTGAAGAAACACACTGTATGTGCGTACATATGAATATATGAAAACTCTGACAGAACTACAGTCTGAGGCTGCAGAGAGAAATGGTATTTTAGATGAAAGCGTTAGAAAACATGAACAAGGGGCACAGATGGCCTACATAAAACTGCACTTTATCTTAGGAACGTGTGTGTGTGTGTGTGTGTGTGTGTGTGTGTGTGTGTGTGTGTGTGTGTATTGGGGTCACCTGAAGCGTCTTGTCAAACCAGCGGTTGCCGCTGTTCAACTGACTCCCTCCTCCGTGCAACATCTGGACTGCAGCCGAGCTTCTGCGCGTCTCGTCGGACACTCGAGGCATCGCCCCGTCCAAACACAGCGTGAAGATGCTCCTCTGGATGGCTAACACCGACTTCTTGTTGATTTTATCTGCACAAATCAAGTACGCACATTCACACCCAGTAAGTATGACGTAATTATGTGTTAACAGAGAACAGAGAACAAAAACATGTTCACATTCTACTTTTTTATACATTTTCTTGGGTCTAAATGACTAAAAGGTGTAAAAAGGTTTTTAGAAATGTTCTGATAGAGTGTCAGTCAGCAGCTTTCAAACTTCTGCGATAACTGCAACTTAATGTCCCCTTCGTTGTTCCTGCAGGCTCCGATTGTTACTCTAAGTGTCTTACAGAAAGGATCCTGCAGATACAGAGCTTTTTGTTAGAGAGGGAGACGATTTTTAACCAGAACCTGACATCAGATATCTGTATTCTGAGACACCAGACCCCATAGACAAAAAAAAGGAGTTTCACTTAAGTCTTTGTTGACTCAATCTGCTGCTTCCTGGGGCTGTTAGTTTGTGTTACTGTGTTACATAAATACAGTATTGACTCTGAACTAACTCTTTAAACATGATAGTCACACAGAACACAAACAGACTAACCGATAGAGGAAGAAGTGGATAGAAAACTCCCTTGATCTTCAAGCTTAAAAAAATATTTTTGTCAAAGGAGTCTGGTAGTTTCAAAGACAGATTCGTATCAGCTGTTTTAGCTTACAAAAGGTGACTGTACCTTTAAGAAAAAACAAGAACTTTAAGTGGACATACTCTGCATTGTAAACCATAGGGGCAGATGCACCCAATCAGCCATTACAGCTTTGAATTCCTCTGCAGTAATAATCCCCCTGACTTGTGGCCCCCATGCTTGCTGTTTTTCAGCCTTTAGTGAAACTCCAGCGTCCACTGAGTTCACCTTTAATGAGGTTGAGGTAGGCTTTGCCCCACGAGTCCCGATGCTGAGTGGTGAGGATGCCGACGGGCTCCATGTTGGTCTGCTCAGAGGAGCTGCAGATCCTCTCCAGCTGAACACAGAGCTGATCCGACGTCAGAGGAGTCCCGTCGCTGTTGTACACGTCCAACACAAAGAACTGATCCAGGACGAGGGGAGACAAGATCGTTACTTCAACTTTACAGGACGGTTTGTTGTGAGAATTGGTGTGTTATCTATAAGTGCTAAAGCTGTAGCTAGTTTATGTTGTTTCAAGAGTTGAATTTGAGTCTTTTCTCCAGATGCAGGTGTGGGACTGCTCACCTGAAAGTTGTGGACCACAGTGATGTGTTTGGGGGGTCTGGAGCTCTTGGAGTGGTTCACCACAGAGTCCTTCTGAAGCCCGGGGATACGACAGGACGACAGCACCTCATAGTACTGATTCATGCACAGGGGCTTCCCTCCAAGATACTCAATCGGTAATGTTTCACTGCAAACAGACGTAAAGAAGTATTTGAGTTGATTCTGCAGGACGAGGGGTTCAATATGTTCACAATATTCATCAGAAAGTTGAAACGATTCTTCATGAGATGAGCTTGTCTTTCTGTTCCCAGGTGATTGTTTCAAACAATATAATCAATAAAACGGAAACCATAAAGAAGAATGGGTCACATGAGAGAACATCATGACCTCAGCACTCACTTGTCAATCATTGTCTTAAAGTCCAAAACGCCCGCTATCAGCTTGGCAGCGAACCTAAAGAGCGAGAGAGAACATATTTTACATTCATTCAAATATTAACTTCAATGAACATTTTCGTATGTTGGTTACACTGAAGGAATACACTTATAGCTGTAAACATTTTTTAAATCTAAAAAGGAACAATTGATTTAGGAAATGTGCCAATGTCAGGACATGACTCCTTTACATTGTTTTCATGTTTTCTTAAATTAAAGCAAACATTAAGAACAAAGAGCGATCTAAAACACACCTAACAGACACTACTGAGGGAAGCAGAAGTTAAACTTAGCAACAATGAGCGCTGGTGAGAAGCGTTTTAAAAGTCTCTCTCATCTTCTCAGTTCAACTCATTCTCTTTTTTTGAGATTTCTTCACAGATAGCTACATCGATGCTTTGCAGGAAGGAAACGAGCGTGTAATTCAAAGTGCAAACTAAAACCTGCGGACTTGAAAGTTCACATTTAACTCCGCTGTCTGATAGGCTGTAAGATATATCCTATCCAACCAAAGTTTATCATGGCTATCTACATCAATTTTATCACAATCCCTTATCAAGATCTTTCTATTGCATCGCTCATAAAGTTGCTGTATTTTTTGGCAGAACACTTGCTGCGTTGGTGTGTGTGTGTGTGTGTGATCACCTTATTTGTCCCTGCTTGTCCCTGAAGTTCATGCGAGGTAGGACCAGACCGGGACTTGAATGAACCACCACTGGAAGGCGGTACGTGAGGTAAGCAACCTGCACCCACCACTCTGACAGCTACAAAGACACAAGAAGCATCAACATCACAGTCAGTGAAGTGACAACAAGACAAGAAACCAAGAAAAGTCAAGTTAATTTAGTACGTCAAATTTCAGGTACATCTTAACAGTACGACAGGAGGCACATTGCATCTCACATGATTTCCATATTTCTACAACAAGATATGGTTTTTATACAAATTGTCTCACCCAGTTGTTGGTGCTGCTCGCCCTCTTCTCCAGGCTGCTCTGCAGCCTCTCTCCGACCCCTCCTGCTTTCTGAAAGTCATCCAGCAGCTCTTTGGTGTGTTTCAGCTCGTCCACCTCCACGATGGGCTCCAGAGCGGTGATGTAGCGCTCGCAGGTCTGCTGCAGAGGGGGGATGGGCAGCGAGGGCAGACCCTTCTGGTGGGTCAGGTATCTGCCAGAGACCCGAGTCGCTGATACGGGCTTCACCAAGTGGCATGGCTTCATTAAACCACAGGGTTTCGCCATCCCCACCTTCACCTGAGACACATTCAATACATGTTGTTGAGGTCAAAGTGTGTTGGTATTTCTTACGCTGTTGAAAATAACTCTGCAACAATTACATATTAAGTATCAGTACTTTTTAAGTATCTTTCATCCAAACTCTCCTCAAACTCAATTTGTACAAATTATTTTACAGCTATCTAAACAAGAAACACAATCTAAAATATACATCTGTATATTTAAATAAAATAAATATAATTTATAATAATATTTTTTGGATTTATTGTAATGACCGAATTTCCTCGTGAGATTAATAAAGTATTTCTGATTCTGATATCAGTTGTAGGAATGTTGTGACAGATATGGCCTGTAGAGGGCAGTCTGCTCTCATTTCAAACTTCAGTACTTCATGAAAAATATGGCAAATAAAGTACAAAGTCAAATCAAATATCAAAAGAAAATACTCAGAGGCCATTTTCAAAAGCTCCCAGTTAACATATTGCATTTATCTAACACTCAGCAACTCAAAGAAACAGATCCATAGTAACATAGAAAAGGCTAAAAATGAAATAGTATATCAACAACAAGTAAGGTTGCAAAAAGATGATAAAAAGTATAAACAAATTACTTAAACTAGTAAAATATGTTGCAAACATTAACTGTTTCCACTGCTTTTACGTTTTGTGCAGAGGAAATTATTTCTCATCAAAACAAAGGATTGCAGGGCGCCTGTGGTCTAGTGGTTAGTGTGCACGCCTCATGTATGAAGGCTATAGTCCCTGATGTGGGCGGCCCAGGTTCAAATCCAACCTGTGGCTCCTTTCCCACATGTCACTCCCCAAATTATCTCTCCCCATTTCTGACTCTATCCACTGTCCTGTCTCTACAATAAAGGCATAAAAAGCCCCAAAAATAAAACAACAACCAAGGATTGCAGTTTTGTGTTTGGTAATTTACATTAATGTACAGGGAACTTGGCAAGAAACAAGAAGAACAGATTGGTGATAGATATTTCTGTATTTCTTTAGGATCTTATTTTGTGTATTTAAAGAATCTTTCATTCTTATTTGCCACATGCTCATACAGATGTGCAGGGAAATATAATGACTGTTCCTCAAGGCCATGCAATAAACAATCAAACATTACAGTAAAATGTAGAAATAGAAGATATAAAAAAAAAGAAATACATTTAAATATACAAAAGGAAGAACTTATGAAGGTTATTAAAGTGAAGAGTCTCAAGTGTCCAAGGTGTCAAAGTGTCATGTGCAGTGTGAATGTGTGGCTGTTAATAGATTGATTAAGTGATCTTTCTAAATTTCCTATTTAAAAATGTTTTTCCCCCCTAGTTGTGATGCTTTTGATGTCTTGTGTGCAGCACTTTGAATTGCCTTGTTGCTGAAATGTGCTGTAGAAATAAACATCCTCATCTGTACGAATATAAAGCAGCCAAATATAATGTTCTTATAGTAAACAAATATTTATGACTATATTATTGAGTACATCTTTCCACAATTAGATCATTTACATCCTGTTCCTCTTTCCCCATGTTATAAATGTTTTACTTGCTTGTTGTTATTTACAATCTGTTTGTTATGTATCGCTTCTGTTTTAAATAAAGTTGGTTTAAAAAAACTGTTAAATTAAGTTAACCTTATGTCATTTATCTCTCTCTCATATCAAATTTAAACCGTAATTCCTTTTAAAAAAAATACTAAACGTTATGACAGTGTACATTAGAGTCTCCGTCAGGTGTCTTTTAATGATATGAACCTGATAAAACACCTGATAACACCTGAAATCACCTGATAACCTTTGACACAGTTCTGGTCGCTAGCGAGGCTACAGCCGTTCTTGACCACAGTTAGCTTACTCTGCTAGCCGCTCGCTTTCTTCAACACGCAGCTACAGAAACGACAAACAGCTGAATAAAGTCATCGTTTCGGTGAACTTCAGGACCTTGAGCTAAAGTTGGATGCAAGCGCGCCGTTTATAGACAATCATAAGTCTCCAAAAAGCTTCGTTACTCACCATAGTTCTGCTGCAAATGCCCCACATTCTGTATTCACAACAACACCCCCCACCTCTGGACCGTCACAGCTCAAAGTCTACCTCAGCACAAAACAGACACGATCAGACTGAAGACTGAAGACTCAAGATCACAGTGTGACAACACTGGACAGGTTGTTAAGTGTCCCTGACGACAGTCTGTCAAGGTTATGATGACAGCTCTCAGATCAGCTGCAGGACACAAGAGAAGTCACTCAGCTGTGAACCACAGGCTGTAAATATTAATTGGCAGCTGTCATAAAGAGGGATGAAGTGTGACCTGTTGATGAAGTGTTTTCTCCCCTATTTTTAAAGTTATTAGAATACTTCGGAAGCGTATTGCATTCATTTTTATTTATTTTTTGCCTGGTTTCATGTTATAACGAGAAAAGATCATCATTCTTCCAGGATCAGTTAAATAGATATGGTATGCTTCACCAATATAAAGTCATGCATCTGAATTGTATTCAAGCTGGCTATGTGGTGTCTCAAGATACGCTTAGGCATTTACTGAAAATACTTTAACCCCATGAATCACCAGAATCGCCTGCTACAGTGTTTATACTGAAATGTTGTAATGAGCTGCCACTGGTGTACTGTACACTCCCATAAACAAACACACGCCTCCTCATCGCCACCACCCTCATGCTTTTTTCTCTTTATCTCGTAATAACGAGATCTTTATCTTGTTATTACGAGATCTTTATCTTGTTATTACGAGATCTTTATCGCGTAATAACAAGATCTTTTCTCGTAATAACAAGATCTTTATCTCGTAATAACAAGATCTTTTCTCGTAATAACAAGATCTTTATCTCGTAATAACAAGATCTTTTCTCGTTATAACAAGAAACCAAGCAAAAAATAATAATTCTCCACATGAATGCAATACGCTTCTGTACAAAACAAAAACAATGTTTGAAACACTTTTGCAAAGCTTGAAACAAATTAACATTTTGGAAAACATACTAACATATAGTATGCAGTATGAACTACTTACTGCATTCTACGCTTGGCAGTAGTATTCAGTACTTTTATGTTTGCAAGTTCACACATTTGTTTGTAAATGTATTTATATATCTGCTTGGGCTTACATGTCTAATTTGTGTAAATGCTGCATGCAAAAAAAAGTATTTCTTAATCGCACAAATATATAATAATTATTTTATGAAAAGCACTTTGCCTGCAGTCTGAAATGTGTTATATAAATAAATTTCCCTTGACTAAAAACAAGATGATGTATTTTACTTGGCGTGTTGTTTATTTTTTTTAACAGCAGGTGGCAGTAAGGAGCTACAGAGGTTCGAAATGTGGTTTAAAAAACCCGCGAAGAAGAGCGTCAGCCGGAAACATGGCGGAAACAGAGCAGCAGTCAGGTAAAGCACAGCTGAATGTTTTCTGCTCAACACTTGCTGGTTCTGTTTCACTTTTAATCTCGTTTTTTTAAAAGCACTGGTAACGTTTAGCACCACACAGTCATAGGAGAAATGTTACGAATTCATTTTAATGTTTCATAGCAACGCCCAGAAGAAAAGTCGCCGCTGCCCTCCTGCGAAGCTAACCATGTTTATTTTGGATAACTTCAGATGCTTTTTGGGGGGCTTGTTTGTTTACTTGTATGCAAACTTTAATTTGCACTCTGTTTTTTTTAAGCAGATGTCGTTAAATGCTTTAAAATCCCTCATACATTTGCTCTAATATACGTGGTTCATCAGCTAGCACTTAGTGAGGATTGTCAGGACACAGTTTGCACTTTAATGCTTTTTGAATAATTTACTAGAAACATTCACTGCTATTTATGGTCGGAGGGTTAATTGAATCAAGCTTTTACTCTTTTATAGAAAGTCTGTGATTCAAACAGAGTAGACTGGTGTGTTCACAAACACCCATATTAAAGGGATACTTCCTGTAAGTATATTTAATAAAAGATAAAGAATGAATGATATTAATCTAAAGTAATGCTGCAGAGACAGAGGGCTTCTGGATGTGAGCCCCTCAAGTGCTTCAAATACTGTGTTCTGTTTTTAATTTCCCCAAGTTTCTAGGCTTGTAAACAGTTTTTTAATACTGGCGCTTTGTATTAGATTGAGACTTTAATTAAATGCATATGTTTTAGTCAGTTGTCGAAAAACAAAGTATATCTCCTCCATGTCTACTCTGGGAATATCTCAGGATAGTTGTCTTAAATAAGCTTGCATTGATATTAAGATTGAAGCATCTTTCACCTTCTGTAGGATCTGCTCCTGAGGATGAAGCAGTCGAAGACACCGCTTGTGACGCCTACATGATACCCAAGAAAGAAATCAGCATGGTGCCTGACATGGGGAAGTGGAAGAGATCTCAGGTAGGTGGCTGCCTGCAACAAAATGAAAAACATAATGACAACAGTGACTCAGTGTGAGGAATCCAATTGGGTGTCTTGCAGTAAAATAGTGATTTTTGAATTGGGTTAATATCTTAAGAAGAAGAAAAAGGGTTCAAAACATCTGCAGTGGTAGGCTTTGATCTTACCCGTAGTTTATCTCCTCAAGTTGTGACGATGTTTTCTGAGTATTTATGGTTTGCAAAAGTCAATATTTCTGACTGAGTTTAAGAAAAAGATACTAAAGACCCCGGTAAAGTCTGTTAAAGTGTGGTGGGTTATTTATACAGCACCTTTGAAAAAACAGATGTTTACAAAGTGCTTTGACAGACAAAGAAAATACATAAACTCAGAGCAGATATCACCAGTCAGGATGATAACAATACTAATCATACGATTTATTTGTAGCACACTTTTCATTTGAAAGAAATGTCAAAGTGTGACAGAATTAAGATGATATGATCATGAATAAAACAAGCAATAACATGACTTTTAAAAACAAGTGAGAGCAGGCAGGAATGAAGAAACATGAGGATAAAGTCGAGGGAGCAGAACACGAAGAAGGATGAGAAGTAAAAACAAGAAAAAGGGTCAGTCAGTAATTGACAGATATGACAGAAGTTGTCCATCACATTTATTGTGACCAGGGTAAAGAAATCAGTATCTCTAAATGTGATCACATTGTTTGTTGTTTTGCTCAGCGTTTTTTCTGAACACACTTGAACACAATTGTCCTTCTTGCAGGCGTACGCTGACTACATGGGCTTCATTCTGACGCTGAACGAAGGTGTGAAGGGGAAGAAGCTCACGTGTGAATATAAAGTGTCAGAGGTACGTCGCCCGTCCTATCAGTGGCTTTCTTAGGAATATAAAAGTGGTAATTGTTGTTTTAAAATAAAGAAAAACAAAACTCACATGTCACTGTTGTTGTTTTTTTGACAGGTGTTAAGCTTTCAGTTTCTCAACATGAACAACTTAACCTCACTCTAAGACATTTTGCCTTGCAAGACAAAGCATCTGATACTGATGGCCGATGTCATTGTTTATGTGATTCTTCTTGTTGTTTATATGTTTCTCCCCATGTTGGGTTCTTTATGTATACCTGTGTACCAGCTGTGCAAAGCTGTGACAACAAATTTTCCCCTGGAGAACAATAAAGTATTGTACAGTATATGGTGGACATCCTACAGATGATGTTGGTCTGTTTTATCAGAGACAGATCCTGAGCAGTTGTAGACTTTTATATGATTACTCTGAAGATGACATTACACCCAAAAGGCCAAAAAAACAAACAAAAGGCACCTGTGAATGGATTTTACTGCCTGTGTCAAGCAGCCAGCATAAAGATCTACACAAAGTCATACACAGCGCAATAACTCAGGGCATGATATGTGGCCAAAGACTCTGTTATTCTTCAATGGTAGGTGAGTGTTTCTGATGAAGAAGAAACAGCACAGAGGAAGGATGTTTATAATGCATCAGGGTGCCTCAGGTTTTCAGTTTAGACGGCCAAATTTTCACCTTGAACTTTGTGAATAACCTGGACAGTCTTTTTTTCTTTATTTGCAATTTGACCTCCGTCCCTTATCCTTGAAAAGCACCTGATTTTTATTTTATTTTACCCTGTGCAGCACTCGCCTCGTTTTATTTTCTCTGATCAATCATCTTGAAAAAGATCAGTCCCAATCTCAAGCATCAAGCAACTTCAAGTAAACAAACTTACTTCAACAATTTATACTCTCAGACTCCATTACTGGATGATGGTAAACTTTCAAATTGACACAAAGTCATGACGTGATAAGGAGAATCAGTTTTGCTGTTTTCTCTGTTGTCTCGATGTTTTGCAGACGATAGAAAAGTTACTTGATCTTTTGGAGACTCTGGATCGATGGATAAACGAGACGCCTCCTGTGGACCAGCCGTCACGCTTTGGAAACAAGGCCTACAGAAGCTGGTACGCCAAGCTGGACCAGGTTAGGACACGCACACACACAAACACTAACACTCAAACATTTAGCTGGTTTTCAGATGTCTGATGATGGTGTTGATTTTAGACAATGATGTAGTGAAGATAAATAATATGTGCCAGTTAAAAATAATTTCATAAAAGAAATGTAAACAAATGTCAAATGTCATCACACAATCACTGAAGCTTCTGATCAGTGCAATCACATGGCTGTTAAATCTGTCATTATTTTAATTTTAAAAAAGTACATACAACTAGAGGCCTATCAATGTGTTGAAGCATTGTGTGTGTGTGTGTTTGTGTGTGCAGGAAGCAGACGCCTTGGTGGCAGCAATCCTCCCCGCAGAGAAATCTGCTGCAGCTCCGGAGATCGCCGTCTACCTGAAGGAGTCTGTGGGGAACTCCACCAGGATAGACTATGGAACAGGTAACGTCTCTACAGTGTTTAAAGCACTCTGGGAGATCTGCAGTTTAGGAGAAGTAAAGAGACAGCATGGATATATTACTCTACACAGCCTGATAACCTCTAAAGATAGGAGAGCAAAGCACATGACAAATATACAAATATTAAAGGTCCAATCAGTGAGATGTGTAGTGAGTGAAATGATAAAGGTATCTTACTATATGATCAGACATTAAGGAAACATGCTATGTTGAAGTGCTGGCTTCTCTGACAACAATGCAGCAGCCAGTATGTCCTCCTTCTAACTTTAGATTCTGGTCCTGAATGATCTGGATCTGTTTGGACCAGAGAAGGTAGACGGTTTTAAGGCACCCCCACACGGCCGTTTTGGACACCCCTCGGTTTGCCAGATATGAGAGCAGTTATCAGGTCAACAGGTGTTGCAGCGATGGAAGCGGGCAAGAGAAGTGGTTCAGATAGAAGTGATTGTATCCGACCTAAAAAGCCTCTGCATGTTTCTAATAAGCTCCACGAGCAGAAACGTGCTCAAACTAGGATCAATATTGGAGATGCTTTTGAAAAATGGAGAGAGGTTAGAACACAGAAAGGTTTACAGACCGATGCAGAGCTGGATAAACACTGAAGCTTCAGTGTCCACCACATGGCAACCTGAGTGAGCATGGACTCTAGAGAGGAGGGGGGAGAGACAGCTCTCTATAATGTTTTCAATTAGAGACTGCAGTACCCATTTTAAACACTAGGGGTCAGAGTTATATCACTCCTTCCAGTAAAAGTTTAAACAAAAGTAGGAGCTTGATTAAAATCTTCAATGTTTGTTCCTAATATCACAGTTATAGGATGATATTTGATGTGCACATATTTGATCTCCTCAGGTCATGAAGCTGCTTTTGCTGCGTTCCTCTGCTGTCTCTGTAAGGTGGGAGCTCTCCGAATAGACGATCAGCTGGCTATCGTTTTTAAAGTTTTTAACAGGTGAGCTCTTCCTGCTCAGGTGTATTATGCTCATGTGTCACCAGCATCAAATATTATCTTTCAAACTGTTTGGCAGAAAAGCAGCAGCAACAAGTCGTTTTTTTGCAGCAGCAGAGGAAAAAACATCCGTCAGTTATGACGCAAAATGAATGATAGATGAACGTGTCTAAAATCTGCCTTTTCTGCTCACTGCAGAGTGTCGTGCTCTGTGATGAGTGTCTGTTATTGAGTGACAAGGGAATGATTTAACACATCTCCGTATTTTATTTAACTTTGGTTGATTTTGGCCATTTGGGTTTTTGGTCCTGCTAAACGTTGAAGAACCCGAACAGTCAGCATAGATTGCTTAAAACTGTCTTTATTTTTAAGTGTGCTGTTGTTAAACATGAACTCCAAACTCTGACCAAAGTTTATATCTGAGACTAACCCACAGTATTGGCCGTTGTAGCAGACAGTATTAACATTATGACATCATTGGTAGTAACAGGATGCTGTGGTCAGAACTGCTCTATGGAAGTGATTTGCATTGATCTTAGACACAGCTGGCTTTGCACGTTCTTTAATTAGCTGTGTTTGTATCCACAGGTATCTGTCAGTGATGCGGAAGCTGCAGAGGACCTACAGGATGGAACCTGCTGGAAGTCAAGGTGTGTGGGGACTGGACGACTTCCAGTTTCTGCCGTTTATCTGGGGAAGCTCCCAGTTTGTAGGTAAGATGCACATGGACGCTCGTGTCTCGATATCCTGAAGATGTCAGGCCTGATTCTTTAAGCTGGTGTTGTTGCAGTTTTGAGGTTATGATCAACATGGTGGGATGTTGTAGTAGATCTGTTTTTCAGTTTTTATGAACAATTTCTCCCCACCGAAAAACAAGTAGAAGTTATAAATCACACATTAAATAAGATAAGATATACTTTACTCATACCAAACATGTAACAATTCCACGTACATAAAAACACCTTTCTGCAGCGGTGACGTGTTGTCATATTGCACATCTTCCTCCATTACCTGTTCTTGCACACATGAATGTTCACAGCAGTTCAGCCCGGTCTGAGGGACCCTGAATCTTCTCCCGGAGAGTCAAAGCTGAAAGTCAGAATGAAGAATGTGGGTCGGGTCGGATGCTATTTTCTGTGCCCGTCTAAAGAGTTGCTCATAGAGTGTTTGGAGAGATGTATACAAAGATCTTCTAAATCAATAAAAGTAATGATGTAAAGTTTAACGACATGTCATAAAGCATAAAAAGTGGGTAAAGCTGACAGTATTAAACTTACTTTGATTAAATTGAATGTAGACAACAAATTAAAGAGCTGCAGTTCATCTTAAAGGACGAGGTTGGAATTTAGACAAAGATCACACTTTCGTTAAAAAAAAAAAAAGCTGCTGCTATATTTCCCTCAAACTGTTGTTAACCCTCAACAAGACCTTCTACCTGAAAAAAAGAAATGAGAAGTTTTCATCAAAGGCAGAAAAATGCAGATCGGTGCTCGCTCCCCTGAGCAGAACTCGCTGCACTCGTGTGTTGCCATGGCTACAAAATGATCTGCATAAATATAAACTCTTCATTATTTATAGCTCGCAGATCTGGAGGCCGTGTCCCAGCCTCCTCTCTCATTATGACCAGCAGATGGATTTAAAAGAAGAGCTCTCGAGCTTCTATTGAAATCATAAATGTCAGCGTGAAATCTGCTTTGATTTCACCAAGTCAGATAAAAAAAAAACTGCAGATTTTATGATGAGTTCATTCTTACAGTGTCAAACAGGTGAGATGTGAAAGTGCTTTGTCTGAGTCACGTTCTGGGAGTGACTGAAGCGCTGCATTAAAGGTGGACGGATCGCTCCCTTACAGAGCGTTGAGGTCGATCTGGGTTGATGTGAAGGTAAACGGCGACATCTGGTGGTGAACGTGTGCACTTACACTTTGTTCCTCTCTGCAGATCATCCCACGGTGGAGCCTCGGCACTTTATAGACGAGAGGGTGGTGAACGAGCATCACCAGGACTACATGTTCCTGGACTGCATCAAGTTTATCAACGAGGTGGGGAAATGTAACACTCACTTTGTTTCTCTTTCTTTATCTGTGTTTTCATTGGCCAAAACACAGACATGTGTGAGAGACATTTAGTGGCTTAAAGTCAGTGTGCCAGTTTCAGGGGAGAGAGGACACTCTAAAACTTGAGGATTTATGAAAACTGTCATATTTCTCCTCTGGTGAAGTACTTTAAATTTGTGCAGAATTTGAGAGCATGCTACGATACTGTTGTACTCAAATTTTATTTTACGGGATACTAGTGTTGTAGTCAAGATCACACAAACAGAGACAAAGACATACCCGAGACCAGAGTGCTCCATTACCGAGACAGACCTAGACATTTAGGGATCGAGACCAAGACCATAAATATCACAAAACAAATCAACATCTTGTGTGCAGCGGGCGTGTCACTCACATAGACCGTAACACCGGGACGGTTGCAGCCATAACTGGGGGATTAAAATTAAACAAAAAATGAAGTTATTTGTTCTTTTAGAAAGAGCGATTTCCTTCTAATCCCAGTAATGACGTGGTTAAATAGCCGATCAGTGGTGATCTTGACTGGTCTTGATTTAAAATCTGGAGTCCGCCCAGTCTGAGACAAGACCGAGTAAAAATGCTTTCCATTCCGAGACGAGACTGAGACCTTCATAAAGTGGTCTTGAGAGCAAGACCGATTTCGAGTACTACAACCCTACGAGAAACAAACAAAATGTTTTAGTATCAAATGTGGAATAAAAATGCTTTTCTCTCTTTATTGCACATTTTAGTTCAATATTCTGATTTTGCAGCCATCAGTTTATGTGTTTGATTCAGTCTTTCTCTGTCTCATGGCACTAAATCATCTGCATCAGGTAGATGCTTGTAAAACTGCCTTTTAATTAACTTGTAATATATTTTAATTTATTTGAGAATAAGCAGGATAACGAAGACTCTGTGACGCAGAGTTTGGCTCTTTTTTCTAAACAGCCAGCTTTGCTTCAGTGACTGGCTGCTTCTCCATGTGAACAACAATTAGTTGGTTTCTTTTTCTCCTCATGGTGGGATTTGACAGTTTGCAAAATAGATAAGATGTGCTTTACTGCCCCCTGCTGGACTGAGGTGGAACAGAAAAAGACATTATTTTTAGACAAAGTAAGCTTAAGTATGACTCAGTCTTTTTATTGCAAACTTAACGTCCCTTACTAACAGAAACAGGGAGAAAATGATTTCACAGTGACTATCCATGGAGGCTATTCATGGCTTTCATGTGAAGCCGCACACTTTGCCCTCCTGCCCCCTGGTGCCAGTTACATAACTGAAAGTCCTCCATGCGGGCGGTCCGGGTTCGAGTCCTGCATTCCCCGCTCTCTCTCCAGATTTCCTTCTCTTTCCACTTTCCTATCAAATAAAGAGAATAGGCCTAGAACAACTTTTAAGTCACTTTAGAAAATATGCACCACACATTTATGTAGATGAACCCAGCTAACAAGGCTAGCTCTAACTTTAGCTTTGATTATTTAGCACTGCTAACTACAGCCCGGCGGATTAATCGGCCAGTCGATAATATTGGCCGATTTAACAATATCAAGTGACTATCGGTATCGGCTAATTTTATCTCAGATATGCACCGATATTGCTAGATTTATTTACGTACGACAGTAGCAGTTCTGTCACCAGCAGAGGGCGCTATGTGGCTTACAACGAGCCTCATCACTCTCCAGAGTGTCAGGAGGTGACGCACGTACATGCTCAGCGACAGAGCCGGACACACTGCAAAAACTAGGGTGATGACCGCTCACCAACGGTCCAACTAGGATCGTAGACCAACATCTCCTTGGTGTGTCAGGGCCTTCAGATAAAGTAAAACACAGGTAGTGCTGCCCCCTACTGGACGTAACACTCTTTACCCCCAGTGTTTGACTTCGACATGTTTCTAATGTATTTGAAATGAGGAAGAAGGTGGAACGCACACTCGCTCAAATGCCACAAAAAGTTTTAATTCATCACTATCACAACGTTTCGACCTCGTCTTCTTCTTCAGGTGATCATTTTTGTGCTTTGTTTGCACTGACGTGATGTGCGTATAACTACCTCCTTTTTCTAAACGATTTGAATGAACTCTTACTGGGAACTCTTTCCTCTTACTGTAGACCCTGGAGATTAATTACACTTTGTGTTTAAAACAAATAAAATGCTTAATTAACGCATGTGTAAGCAGAACTTGGTTGTGATCATGTACAGATTTATTTATTCCTTGGATTAAATCGGACCACAGCTGAATGTGGTCTGGTCCAGGAAAGGGAAGACGGACAAGGCAGATGGATTGTGTTGGTGCGGTGCCAGAGCAGGAACTGTTCGCTTTGTTTTCTGGGTTTGGAGGAAAAGGAGGGGAGGGAAGCAGAGGAGGGCGTTGGTGGAGCAGCAACATCCTTTTCCTCCATCCCACTCAGAGGCACCACCTCCTGTCCTCTCTCTCTCCTCCTCCTCCCTCTCCCTCTGTCTGACCTCTTCCTTCTCCTCACGGGCATGAAAGGATGCTGCTGTTGAGTCAAGAGGGGAAGACGGGCCTCTTGGGTCTTCCTCATCAGTGAGGGAAAGATGTTGTTTTTGTGACTGAATTTTACAGTCAGTGTCTGATCAATAAATCAATTAACAGAATATTTATTGCCTCCTATTTTGGGCAGTTTTCCTCCAACATAAAGGTCCATTCTCTGATTTCAGTCTCTCAGAAGTAAAAAAAAATCTGCTGCTTTTTAGAGCATTGAGTTTGCTGTTGGTCACATTTATAACGTTGGACTGTTGCAAGTGAGAATAATGAATCCTCCGGCTCTGGAGGCTCATCAGCAGCAGCCGCCATGTTGGAAATCCTGTCTCAGTCTAACTTTCAGTCAACCTAACGACAGGCTGAGAGCTGGAGCTGAGGCGGATTTTAAGACTCTTGACAAATTGTTACATCGCGCCCACCTGTTAATCAGGTCAGCTACGTACTTAATGCATATCGTTTTTAAAATCAAATCTCAGAAAAACCAAAAAGACTCCGACAATCCCTGAGCAGTATCAAAGTAGCTGTTCACACAAAACTGACCGGAACCAATGCAGCAGGAGACTATCCCTGACGTGACATAAAAAAAAGACGGACAGAGCAACAGAGTCCGCTACAGGTCGCTATAATGAGAATATTTGTCTTTATATTAATGCTACGTGTAGATGAACAGAATCTCAATCTGAACTAAAGAAGAACAAACTGGAGAACAGGAAACATTATGCAGCAGGTTCATTAGAGCACAGAGCGTTATTGTGCAGACAGTCTATTCACCATGCAGCAGTTACAGGATATAAACGTCACTCCCCTTCCTATTGGCTCGAGGTGAATTCTCCTGATTATATCCTGCTGTGTTCTCACATCAGCTCACTCTGACTTGCTGCGGAAAAAATGCTAGAGGACTGTCAGGAGAAACTCCAGGACAAGTCGGAGTGAACATTTCAGTTGTTTGTGTTCTCACATACAGCTCCTCCTGGAGATATCAGTGCAAGTGTGAAAGCCCTATGAGCTGTCTTTGAGAAATGTTTGCTCCTTTTTCACTTTTTTAAATCCCCTTATCAAAATGTGTCTTATACCAGTATTTTCGTAAATGTACATAAAGTACAAATTTAAACTTTGAGCATTGCTCCTAAAGACGACTGGAAAATATCAAATGATAAACTAATGTGACACCAAACTCTCCTAAACAGAAGCTTTAAATGGTCTTAAAACTGCCAAAAACAACCACCAAAAGTTTAGATTTGCATCGTTTTTATAATATTTAAAAGACAAGCGTATTCCTTTTTGCAGATGGAAGTCTAGAAGGAGCCCCGGCCCCTCCCCTATTGTTGTTACCCAGCAACCCTCACACACAACAAGACAGAAAACAACCAGCTCTTCTTTCTTTTGTTTTTTTTGTGCGCTCTGTTTGCATCAACCCTTCATATAAGACACCGTTTATTCCACCAGGAAGTCATCGTAAAACTACCTTTTTTTTCTTGATACTTCTGTATTAGTTTCTGATCATAAACCTCTGAGTGGAGAAGTCGGGCTAAATGTGGGTTAAACTGATTATAAAAAGATGTTATTCTTCCTGTGTAGATGATGCAGAGTGAACATGACTACACTCTGTGAGGCTTTCTTTCCCTCTCTTGGATCCATCTCTTGTTTTTTTGTTTTTTTTCACTTTTTCCTGCAGGTTTGTTGTTCCTCTTTTGTTTACTGCCGCTCCGACCGGCCCGTTAGCATGCAACACTCCTCCGTATGTACGCTGAACTCTTTCCCTCCTGTTCACACACATGTGGATACTTAAAGTCCTCTTTTTTAATCCACACACAGGGCTCCAGTGTGCGTGTGTGAGTGTGTACATGTGTGTGTGTGCGCTCGGTCCCGAACATGAGTCACTTCCTTCCCCACATGCTGCTGTGAATCACTCCTTCCTCCAGGGAATACGGGCTGTCTCCTCCCCCCTTTCCCCCCCCCCCTCCACGCCCTTCCCCCATGTGTTCTCATGCGAGGCCCTGGAAAGTGTCTGAGGCAGCGTGTGAGGGGGGAGGACGGGGATGGGAGGGGGATGGAAAAAGGAGGGGGGGGGGGTTGTTAGGATTGATGCCCCCGGGGGTCTGGGTTTGGGTTCCTCTGCCTCTTGGGAGAAAATGGTGGGAAAACAGTCGATAGTCCTCGATTCATTCATACATTTATGAATTTCTACATTTGTTTTTGTCTTCTCACTGACTCTGTCTTTTGTTCCTCTCACTTTTTTGTTGTCTGTGTGTCAGCAAACACACTCGCTGTTGATTCATTACTGCTGGAGAACAGTCGTCCTTTTGTTCTGTGTGGGCCTTTTTTTTTTTTTACTACAACGATGATTTAGCTTAAAGCGAAGTATTCAGAGTCATAAGACGAGCGCCAGTGACACAAACAAGGCCGGGCTGTTGTCTTTCATACTGTTTGCACTCACATTGATTCATCTTGCTGTGGCTTCTTCGATTGAATATTAAAGATGCACAATAAAATCAGAGAGCTGTCTGAATTTACTAGATTAATTATGGTCGATAATTAATCACTAACTTTTCTTGACCGCGATTAATGCTCATGCTATTTTGTTCCTTTAGGCGCACCGTAGATAAGCCTCCTCAGTGTCTCCCTGTAGTCACAAGCCGTTTTCACATCTGCACTCCTGAAAATATCTAGATCATTTCAGGAGGACTGCTCTGGAGATTCTCCTGACCTGGCTGTTCACATATGCTCCTTACAGAGCGAGACTGTCCCTGTCAGACAGGAGGGGGGGGGGGGGTCTCCTGAGGTAAGATGCAGAAGTAGTAGACTTATCTAGATATTTTCAAGAGTGCAGATGTGAAAACGTCTTCAGTCAGCACACCAGAAGCTGCTCCATTTAACATTTAATGAAATATTTCACCAGGTGACATTTTGGGCTCCGGCCCTTCATCAGACGCGAACGAGCGAGGAGACACACCTCCACAGATTTACAACCCCTGAGGTCTTTTTCAAACCTTTTTGGTCAAATGAATTCCGTCCTGCAGCAAGTTTAGGGCCAGAAAACCAAAACAATCGACTGAAAGACTCCATAGAGCAACATGAGGATAATGCAGGAAGATATCTTCTGTAGGTGTTCCTCTCTGAGTGATCGCTCTCTCATACAAACTTTCACCAGCTCTGTTGATATAGAAATCCTCTTTATAGCAGTTGTATGTAGATCAAAACTAAGCTTTTATTTTTTTCACCGAGGATTGAAGGACGAATCAAACAGCAGCGTTATCTCTGCTTTTAAACACAGCACACTAAAGATGCACTAACTGTTCACTTCCCTTCGTTATCATTCCTGCTCCCTGAACATGCATCAAACCACAGATTGATGTCAAAGTTTTGTTCTGTGATTAAGAGAAGCAGCTTCAGTCAGTGTTAAAGGGATTCTCCTGGCGACCCATTTTCTTCTGTGTCAAACTCTCCTGTAGATGAATGAGCTCACTATTTTCCAAAAAGTTAGAAGTCTTTGGGTTTTCTCCTGCCATGAATATGGGTCATCATCGCTGGATTCCTTTCTAAGTGACTCAGCTCAGGCTGACCAAAAGCTTCATCAGCAGAGAAAACCACATTTCCAGACTGCAGACGGGCCAATCACAACTTCCCTGTTAAAAAACACATTTACCTTATGTTGCAGAATTAACTCCAGTGATCTGTGATTAATATACTTTATGAACATTCATAAGGTTTGATGGAAGTGAAACATCCGTTTGGTGCCCAAAGGGAAATTCAAGTTTGTCTTTGTTTCGTTTTCTAGATATTTAAATGTCTAAACTACACATGGTTACACAAAGTTTGGGGTTGCCCGCAGTATTTAAATTCCAGGAGCAGTGAAACAGACTGTAATGGCAGCAACAGCCGATCAAAGTATGTCCACTAAAAGTTACCAAGCGCTCCGTTACAATACAATGTATTAGCATTTCACCATTAAAAGTGGAAATGCCATTCCTATCAGCTGTTAGATAGCCGCCTGACACACCAGACTCCATTCTCAAAAACAGGAATTTTACTTAGCAAGAAAATGGGGTTTAAGTTTGCTGCTGCCTCAACATGTTTGTTTGTTTTATATTCTTCTTCTTTTTGGTGTTATAAATGAGTAACCTGGATTAGAGCAGCTCGATGATGGCAAAACTATAATCCAGATTATTTTAAATGATACTGAGATCACAATCAGTGAAAAATGTGAAGTGAAGTAGGGCTGCAAGGTGCTGCAGTGGTTAGCTTTGTTGCCTCACAGCGAGGAGGTTCCTGGAGGGAACTGGTGTGGGTTCCCTCCAGGTACTCTGGCTTCCTCCCACAGTCTAAAGACATGCTCGTTAGGTTAACTGGTGACTCTACATTACCTGTAGGTGTGAATGTGAGTGTGTCTGGTTGTCTGTCTCTACATGTCAGCCCTGTGATTGGCTGTCCAGGGTGTAACCCCGCCTCTTGCCTAATGACAGCTGGGATTGGCTCCAGACCCCCAGCAACCCTGGAAAAGCGGTCTAGATAACGGATGGATGGTGAAGTGAAGTGAAAAATAACAATAAATAGATTAACTGATGTTTCTGAGGTAGTGGTGATGTTCTCTTTCACTATAAAAACAAACACATTTACCACACATGACAGAACCTGTGGACACCAGCTTAACACAGCGTTTAATCTCGATTATCTTGTTTACATGATCGTTGGAAGCCAAAAGCATAATTGAAATAAAACTCAATAAATTGCCCTGCCCTCACCTGGTCCCGACTCAATGTTTTCATAACACTATAAAAAGGGAACATTACGATACAAGGCCGAAATGGAGGCAGCAAATTATGTTGATTCTGACCAGCAAAATGAGAGTTTTTATCAATGGAGTCTGGTGGCTTTTCTAGCAGCTGTTCCTGGTTAAAGAAATCCTCTCTCTGTATCTCTGTAGGAATCCGTTCTGTAACGTTGTCACACACTCAGGAACAATCTGAGCCCGTCAGTGACGAAAACAAACAACTTTGAGTGGTCTTCATTTAATCTGGAGCGAGAGCGGCCTGATCCACTTCACAACATGAAGCAGTTCCAAAACATTAGACTTTAAAATGAGTAAAGTGGTACTCGGGCTAAAAAAGCAGCAAATATCCTTCACACTGTGGATACTTCTGTGTAATCATGAACATGTAGTCATCACATAAATTCTATAAAAAAAGAAGTTAAATCCAGATCCAGCTCCAACTTTCCTGGTTGGAACTTTTTCATTAGCCTTGATTTCTGGAGTTTTTTCCCCCCCCCCCCTCAATGTCAAACTGTTACACAACGTCTCGCGGTTGTTCCACTTTAACCTTGTTCTCTTTCTGTTTCTTTGTTGTGTAGATGAAGACGGGTCCGTTTGCCGAGCACTCCAACCAGCTGTGGAACATCAGCGCTGTCCCGTCCTGGTCCAAAGTCAACCAGGGTCTGATCAGAATGTACAAGGCGGAGGTATGTTGGCGGGATTTTCTTCTCTCACAGCGTCACAGGTCAGTCATTAATCAGTCTGATGGAAACTTTGAGTCCGTGCAGGATTAAAGCAGCTATTAAGTTTTTCGGTGCTTTAATCTGACGTGACCCCAAACTAAAAAAAATACTGAGCTTGAAGAACATAAATTATAGATCCCTTGTGAAACCAATTCACAAAACACAAAAACACAAATCACAGTACTTAAAGTCCATTACTCTGATTTTATGAATGGAACAGTAATCCATTCATGAAGTCTAAACTCCTGCAGCAACATTACATTTTAATTTGAGTTAAGACTAAAAGGTTTTGGGGCACCAGTAGCCTGGTGTTTAGTGAGCTGTGTTGGTATCATGAGTAAAATAAGGTCATTGACCTCCGAATAAATTCACATTGCAATCTAAAACAGCACTTGATGTGTTACTCTGGGAATCAAAAATAAACAACCAACTCACATTATTAGTAGTCCAAATTCTAAACATTGTAGAGAGCTGTCTCTCCCCCGCCCTCCTCTGTAGAGTCGATGCTCTCAGGTCACCATGTGGTGGACACTGAAGCTTCAGTGTTTATCCAGCTCTGCATCGGTCTGTAAACCTTTCTGTGTTCTAACCTCTCTCCATTTTTCAAAATCATCTCCAATATTGATCCTAGTTTGAGCACGTTTCTGCTCGTGGAGCTTATTAGAAACATGCAGAGGCTTTTTAGGCCGGGTACAATCACTTCTATCTGAACCACTTCTCTTGCCCGCTTCCATCACTGCAACACCTGTTGACCTGATAACTGCTCTCATATCTGGCAAACAGAGGGGCATCCAAAACGACCGTGTGTCGGTGTGTCTTAAAAGCGCATCTCTGGTCCAAACAAATCCAGATCATTCAGGACCAGAATCTAAAGTTAGAAGGAGGACATACTGGCTGCTGCATTGTTGTCAGAGAAGCCAGCACTTCAACATAGCATGTTTCCTTAATGTCTGATCAGATAGGAAGATACCTTTATCATTTCACTCACTACAAATCTTACTAATTGATCCTTTAGTTATAAAGTACAAAGGTTGCATAACCAATGAAGTTCCCATTAGTCTCAGCTGTACTTGGCATTCATGATTTTAGCATGCTAACACACTAAACGAAGATGGCAGCCATGATAAGCATGACATCTGCTTCACATTGAACATGTTAGCGGCATCGCTGTGAGCGTGTTTGCATGCTGATGTCAGCGTTTGGTTCGAAGAACTCCTGTGAGAAAGAGGAGCTTCACAGAACTGCTGCTGTGTTTGTGGACTTCAGATTGAAACAAACACATTAATGGTGTTCATACCTGTGTGCTGCAGTTACACCTCTAAAACACTAGTTGGCAGTGAAGTGCCTCAGCCTTCCATGCTGTGTTCTTCTCAAAGAAACCGAGCAGTAACCATCTAAAGTATCTAAAGTAACCATCAATGACCGAAACTGAAATAACAGACCTCAAACAGAGACTAAATGTTGTTGTTTGGAGTTGAACAGGCGGCAGCAGCAAGTTACAAAGCACAGCGTTGTCTGTAGTTTCATTGTGATTCAGTTGTTGTGTTCCTCATCACTCCAACATGTAGTTCACTGTTTTCCAGGTGCACATCAGGCTTCAGTAACGACAGTGTTTTATTGTGGATGAAGCCTGAGCTATATTTTTACACCTACACTGTAACGACAGAATGAAGAAGTATGAATCAGACTCAGCGCGACATTCACTGTTAGGTTTTTTATTCACAAATGCATAAACGTATTGCTTAGCGTCCACACTACTCCCACATTTTTTAAATCAATGAAATAGGCTCCATTAAAAACCCTTTTGACACTCTGTTAGGGCTTTCACACTCTCAGAAAACTCCTGAAAACCTCCTGATATTTGCCGGAGGAGATTTTTCTTCACCCTGAGTTAGTCCTGACAGACCCCTAGTATATTTTTCTGCAGCAAGTCCGAGTGAGTTGATGTGAGAATGCAGCAGGATATAATCAGGAGAGTTCAGATCGAGCCAATAGGAGGGGGAGTGACTTTTATATCCTGTGATTGCTGCACGGTGCATAGTGTGTCACAAATAAGGAACCAGCCACAGAGAAGACAGCCCCAGTTTTCACATAATGCACTCGTGTAAATTTCTAGAAAATTGAAGGCACACTGCCCCTGAAATTTCCCTTATTCTGTGTTCACACATGCATCACACAGCAGGGGAGTTGGACCTGTGGGCCGGGGGGTCTCAGGAGGCAAGACATGACATATGAAGAGCTGCTTGGAAGAAGCAGACAAAGCAAAATGAGAATATTTGCGTTGTTGTATAAATGTTACCTGTCGTTCAACATATTTATGAACAAAAGAGACTGGAAACAGAAAACATAATGAAGCTGTTTCATAATGTGCACAGAGATCTTTGGCCGTGCACCGGTCGCAGGATATAAACGCCATCACGCCCTCCTGCTTGCTTGCTGGGAATTTTCCTGAATATTTCCTGCAGCGTTCTCACAGCACTCACACTTCTCAGCAGGAAACAGTCCGGCTAAGTCAGAGTGAAAAAGTCGTCTGTTTGCGTTCACACATGCAGCTCACTCCTGAAATTTCAGGAAGTTTTCAGAAATGTTGTACAACTGTTAGCGCACCCAACAGCGCTTGGCTTAGTCTCCCTTATAGACTTTACTAAGATTATCAGCATATGTTGTTGCACTGCAGCTTTCACATATATTTTTGGAGCATTTGGAAGGATTCAGGTATGCCTTTATTTCAGTTTCAACACAAAACTTCCTTCTCTCTGTGTTGACTTGATTATTTAGAACACAAAGACACATCTCCATGATGAGTTCTGATCTCTTCCTTAAGAACTTCTGTCCCTGTAATATTTTTCCCTATGAAGGTTTTGAAACTCACATATTCACATAAAAGTGCTGCGCAAAACTATGGTGAAGAAACTACAAACACAGAGGTAGCTTTGAAAACAGGACTTCTTCACTCAGATTTTAACGTTTGTCCTCGTTTACATGAGTTTAAAGAAATCAGTTTACAGCTGAAACCAGACTGCAACTGAACGTGCGAGCAGAGGAGAGAGGCAGGAAAGGGTTAAGAGAGGAATGGAGAGAATGGAATTGTGTGTGTGTGTTTGCTTTGGTGTGTGTTGTGTGTGTGTGTGTGTGTGTGGGCGGTTGGGGGTGGGGTTGGGGGGATGTCTAAGCCCGTTCTCCCCGCCTGCATGCCCACATCCTGTGTTTTCCAGAGCAGCCTGTGAGTCTTCCCAAAGAGCTGAGGGGCCAAGCTGTCTGCCTCCCCCTCCTCCTCCCTCTCTTCCCCCCTCCTCCCTCCTCTGCCGTTCCCTTCATTAAATTCTCCCCTCCCTCTGTCCCGACCTTCCTCCGAGCCTGGAGCAACCATCAGCAGACTTGCATTCCTCTCTCCCTTTTCCTGGCCCCACACACGGTTTCGGGCAGCGAGTTGTGTGAGACGGAGAAACAGCAGAACTCGACGCCCGAGAGTGAAAGACGATTCTGAGAGCTCGATGTTTTAAGACAAAAAAATACAAATAAATTCATACTTTGACAAAAGCGAAACATCCGTCAAACGTTGGCCTGTTTGCTTAAAGAATAAAAGTGTCCTATCGTGAAGCTCTCACCTTAAATGTGTCGGGTGTTTGTGTAAATATGAGCTGCTTCAATACTTGTATAACTGTTTCTTTGTATTCGTCAGACGGCTTGTGGGTCACAGTTTTTTTTTTTCAGTGCGCTGTAAAAAAAAAAAAAAAATCAACTTGCACGGACTTGAAAGTTGCCAGAGATGGTTAATTCAGTCAACGTCATGTCTGCCAGTTGTTCGTCTCAACAAGTAGATACACTGAAGTGAAACACGTAATACCCAGACGGCCTAGAAGAAAGGAGACATTATCAAAAACACTTTGAACCTGCTGAGTTTATAGATTTGAGTAATTTTCTTCTCTTTGTTATTGTTTAATATATTAAAAAAAGACTTGAAGAGAGAACATGTGAGACTGTGGGTCGATGCAATCTGAATTCATAACCCTGTCCTCGACACACCCAGGTGGTCGTCGCCCTAGTTTTTGCATTGTGTCCGGCTCCATCGCTACCCGTCGGCCTTTTTTCAGGCAATTCAACATGTTGAATCTGCGTCAGTGGTCGTTGAGAGGACTCTCTCTGATTGGCTGTTCAGAGATTTCATTTATCTCCAGTTCTCGACACAGATTCTGTAAAGCCCCTTGCCGCTGTAGTATCCATGCTTTCATCCAATAGTGCGGTTTCTCCTTATTTGTCGCCTTCGCCTCTTCTTTTCTTTTTCCACTAAAAGACCAAGAGCTGACAACGCCAGCGCCATTTTCTACTTTTTATCAGACATTATTCTCCATTAGTAGGCGACCTATAATACGAGTGGTGACCGACAGCGGTGTGAAAATGGTCTTCTCAAATCATAACAACAGACTACCGCTGCCTGCTGGCATGGAGAGTTATTTCCTCTCTCAGAACGTAGGTGGTGGTTGGCCATTGGCTGTAGTCTGTGCGGTGTGTTCAAGTGCAGCTTTTTGGCCAAGACAAAGGCGATGCCACAGTTGGCCTGCGTCGCCACAAGTTCTTTGCCGTCTGCTTGGTGTGGGCCTTCAGACACAATTCTTTAGTTTTCTACCATAGACCGTATGTAAGAGGTCGACATAGCCAACATAGCGTCAACCATTTGTTTCTGGAATACTGTCTGCAGGCCTGGACTGTCTCTTCAGTCCACTAAGATAAAATAAGAAAAATCTCAAACATGACTCCCGTCTCTTTTTCCGAGTCCTTCCTTGTTGCACCTTAAGCCTGGAGTGTCACATTTTAACAACCGGCATCTTTTTAAATAACCAGAAGTGACCTTATTTGGACCCGAGGGTGGAGCTATGAAGGAGCACGGTGTTACAAGCACTAAGTTATCAGCTAACGCTAGCAGGTCAGCAGAAAGAATCCCTGATAACGGAATGCTAGTTTTGGTCTTAGACCGTATGTAACATGGACGTAGTTTCAGTGACATCACTCTCTGGCTTCCAAAGAGGCGTTTTGAAGCCCAACAATAGCAGTCACCATATTGGAAATTTGAACTCAAACTAACTTTCGATCAACCCAGAAACAGGCACAGTGGTTTGAGCGGAGGTGGGCCTTAAGCCTAATGGGAAGCAAAAATAACCCGCCCACCTGGAGGTCAAATCAGCCATGGCAGAAATTATGCAAATGTAGCAACATTTTCCCAAGATTTACTTTTGCTTTATTGACCGGACAGTGAATTGTGTCCTAAATCAGGGAAGAGAGAGAGTGGAATGACACAAAGCAAAGTAGCCACATGTTGGATCAGAACCTGGGCTGCCCGCTTAAGGACTTTAGCTTCTGTACATTGGGTGGGTGCTCTAGCTAACCACTAGGCCACTGTCACCCCAAATGATTTAAAGGGGGGCCACTAACATAGATTAGTGCAGATAGAAAGGGTAGAGCTTCATGCCTTCCTCCGACTTATTCTGAAAAGTTGGTCTGCTGTAGAAAAACAGAAAATGATTGAAAGTGAATTTTGTTATTGGGGAAAGTAAAATGTCCAAAAGGCAGATAAGAAATGCTCCCCCGTGTGACCTTCTAATGTTTTATCGAGCGTATATCAGGGATGTAAATGACCTTTAGATGATTTTACACATTTCATTGATTAAATAACCGTTTGGACCTAAGTTTTCCTACGTAAGTGTTTCCAGCCTGGTTCTGCTCAGATGATCATGACCGATAGTGTCACTGCACAGACTGACTGAGCACAGAGTTCAATTTCTCCGGTACAGACTCCCCAACCCCCACCGCAGACACCCACAATCCCCCGCCAACCCCCACCCTGCTCCCTGAAACTGGGTCCATGTCTGAGCGCACAAAGAGCCTCCTCTGGGCTGATGAGCCGGCATTATGAAAGAAGGAAAGGAAAGAGTTAACAATGCTTAAAGTCAAGGTTAACTTTGGGGATTTGGGCTTCGATGAGAGTCTGTTTGAAAGAGAAGAATGCGTCTCAATGACGCCATCAGCAGGAAAAAAAGTGACAACAAACTATAAATCTAAACTGCGTTGTGCGTACAAACTGTTTGGTGGAGAAACTTCTGCTAACATCTTGCTTCATGTAAAAATCTGGCTTTGAAAATTCTCTCATCTTCCCCTCACCACAATTAGATAACCAAAAATGTGTTGCCAGGAAAATTTCAGCCAAATTCTACATCCTTTTTTTTTTTTTTTTTTTTTTTTTTTTTTACACCATTTAGTGGTTTTTAGTTGAAGTTGAACTGGGAGTGGATGAAAATGAGGCGTCAGTTCAGAGCGGTGAAGAAATAGTCTAACAGTTTAATGATTTAGCAAACTTGTGATTAAGTTTACAGATTCTGATTCCCCGTCCTCACAATAGTGGGGGTTGTTCCAACTCGAGTCTGCTCGGAACCGCTAATCTTCCCAGATTATTCTGTAGTGAGAGTGGTATAAAGATCCTATCTTAACCTCCTCAATGAGCTCAGACAGCATTGGGGCCGCCCGGATTTATATCAAACATGTTTGATATTTAGGATGAGAAATCTCGTGGCGAAGGTTGAGCATGACCACAGTTACCGTGAGAGACGAGGTAAATGGTACATGACTTGCGTATATTTCACACGCTGATGGTAGAGGCTGATATGTAAAGAGACAATCAGAAGTAACTAATCCATTCATACACTTTCATACGCCGCTGATGAAGCAGCGGGAGCAACTTGGTAGAGGTGGGATAAAAAATTATAGTATCGCAATGTTTTGTGTGGTGATATCATACCAGCTCATGGAGGCCGAGTATCGATATTTTTAATATGATTTTTTTAAATTTTTAACTGCTGAAGGGGTTGCACATTTCATTTTGAACACGTTGCAATGTTAAGAATTCACGTTAAAGTTCAATTAGACTGAAATACAAATAAAAAGACTAAAGTGAGGTGAACAGACTGAGAATGTTTTCTTCTTTGTTTAGTGTAGTGGACATGAAATGCAGTTGAAAAAGTTAAATCGCAATTCTCAGCCTATCGCAAAATGTTAAAAATTGCAATAGAATCGTACCTTGTCTCGAGTATCGCGATAGTATCGTATCGTGGGGACTCTGGAGATTCCCACCCCTACAACTTGTGGTTAAGTGTCTTGCCCAAGGACACGTGGGTCATGTGGCTGCAGGAGCTGGGGATCTCAAACGATACCATCAGAGCAATGGCCGCCATTGGACAGTAGGACAGTAGTAATGGCGACCAGCGGCAAGACACAGTGGTACGGGTGTGCTGGACATCTGAAATGTATAAGACAGTTAAAATCTTTCCTCCAGCTCTCACTGAAGAACATCCTTATTGACCGCATCTCCCAAACTAGTTTTTTTTTTTTTTCCTCTCTGCACAAAGCTCTAAAATTGCAAATGTAACCGCTGACACCATTTTTTACATGAAATGGTGCAGTCCTTGCTGGGCACTATAATAAAATCCTTTAGGGTGTGTCTTGCCATTGTTTTCATATTCGTATATTCTTCCTGTAGTGTGTGCATGCTTGAGATTATGGAGAAGAATATCTGTTTAGATTCTTCTGATGTGTGAGATGCGACCCCATTTCTAAAACTCCTGCAGTCCGAGCTGGTGACTATTCCAGCTTTTAAAGAAAATAGCTTCAAGGTTGATTCAATAGTACAATAACGTTCAACGGGGAGAATGGTGTCTCTCTCATGTCCATGGCTTTCTGCACTGTGCAGCAGGCCGCGGTGTGTACATTTTCCAGCATCATTCACTGAGGTGCAGTGTGTTAGATCAGAGTTTCACACTTCACATTTAGCTGTGTTTTGATAAAGTGTCCTTCCCTTTTCTTTCTGCTCCTGTTTCCAGTGTTTGGAGAAGTTCCCCGTGATCCAGCACTTCAAATTTGGTAGCCTGCTCTCCATCCAGCCAACGAAGCCTTGACACCCATGACCCACCCATGACCCGCTCGCGATGATGAAAAGACCAAAATCCCGACGACGGTTGGAACCAACAGTTTTCCCCTTCCTCTGACATCCTCTCGTGCAAATTCAACCGTAGCAGAAACCACCCACACGTAGTCCCTGACGCACACACACTCCCACATGCACACACACATGTGGTCTTCACAGCTTGTAGGTCCATCCATAACTGTAATGCAGAGCATGTCATGGACAACCTTTGTGACCTTGGAGCATCTCTATATTTTTGTCAGTATATTTATATAACAGATAGAGTTTGAACCGGGCTCCTTTTTGATGGATGGACAGATTAGAAGTGTGATCATTGATGCTTGAACTTACCTCAAAAGTTTGGATCCTGAGTGGCTGAGTGAGGTGATACATGACTGTTTGACTTCTTTAAGATCTTTTGCCATAGTTTCTTCCTCTTAGTTTTTTTTGTTTTTTGCTTCCAATGCCAACTTGTGTTGTTGTATTAACACCAGTATTCAAATGTTCCCCCTTCAGCCCAACAAACAGGAAGTGTTGGATCTTCAAGGTTAGGTGATGTACACTTTATGTTTATCCACCACAGTTTCATTAAAAGTCACATTAACGACTTGTGTCCAATGAGGATGTTTGTTGAGCTGGCAGCGCCCAACATCTACGTTTCAGAGCACTTCTCAACAGCGCTCATTGTTGCTAGGTTACGAAAGTGAAGTTAGTTTTATTAGCTCTGTGTGCTTAATGTATTCCTTTATTCAAGGAAATATCATCCAATGAAACATGAAAACAATGCAAAGGAATTGTGTCCTGACGTTAGCAGCATCTGAAGCCCCGTTTCCTCCAAGCGGTCCGGTTCAGTTCGGTCCGGTAAGGTACCCATTTATTGGAGTTTCCACCGCCAAAAGTTGGGAATGGTACCAAAATAAGGGATGGAGTGGAGCCTTGCTCAGGTGCTCAGGAGGTGATCTGGCACCTCTCCAGCTACCAGACCAACTTCCATATTCGGTCTGCACTGGGATTTGAACCGGTGACCCTCCAGTTCCCAACCCAGGTCCCTACAGACTGAGCTACTGCTGCCCCAATAAATAGCTGCCCCAATAAACAGCCGACTTTGATCGCTAAAAACGCTGCCAGCGCAAAAAAACATCCTTCGTGAACACGGGCCCTAAAATCAACAATCTCTGCTTGAAATCTCTCTCAGAAGATTTGGTTTCCCCCCCTCAATCAGTCCATGACAATATTCTACACCCACATCAGGTTAGTAAAGTTAAAGTAAATATCATAAAACCAATCGACCATACTTGCAGCTCTTTCCTCCAGAGTTCTCCACCCAGGTGAAAAATTGTCGCTCGAGTGTTAAATTCGGCTTCTGTTTCAGTCAGCATCTTTCAAACATCACGGCATGTTGTGTTTTTATTTTTTATTTGATTGATTGAAGAAATGCTATTTTTGTGTTTTTATGTTGACCTGTCAAACCTGATTTAATAAATTTTCCCGTTTTCACATCTTTTGTCCGCCGTCTTCAATCTCAGTTTCTGTTACTTTTTTTACACCGCAGGTCACACCTACACATTCACACACTGATGGTCGAGGCTGCTGTGTAAAGAGACCATCAAAAGTAACTAATCCCATTCACACACTGCTGATGAAGCAGTGGGAGCATTTTGGGGTTAAGTGTCTTTCCCAAGGACACATCTGACATGTTGTTGCAGGAGCTGGGGTTTGAACCTGTGACCCTTGACCTTTTGGTTGAGAGACAATTGCTCTACCAACTGAGCCACAGCTGCCCTCTATTATTTTTTGGGCTGTGTCTTGTACTCAAACCTACAACCAGAGTGTTGAAGATGCTATATGGGGCGTCTGCTCCACCAACTAAATCAAACAAGGTACCCCAAAGTCTTTGTATCTGACAGAACTACTTTCAAAAATGGCCGTCATCAAGATTATAATATACTGAGGAGAAAAAAAGGTTTTGTCCTAGTCCTATATTTTATCGTTCTTAAATTTAAATCTTCAAGATGGAGGCTTTAACGATGAACAATTTTGACAAATTCTCCTAAATTGATCAACTCACCTCCACCACTTTAAGAAGAATCCCTTTGTACGAGTACTTCTCTCATGAGCTCCTTTGTTGTACTGGTTCGTGTTTGTAACCCCGAGATGAACCCCACTCTGAGGTAAATGGATTCTGAGATGAGGGGAGAAAGTGTTGAATATTGTATGAGTGAGGATACTGTATCTACTCCTCCACATTAAGGAAAACCTTCTTTTTCTTTTTTTACAGAAGTGGTCAGCGGGATTAGGGGAACTCCGATTCATGTCAAATTGAATATTCAAAATGTAGCAGTGCTTCTAAAACGGACTGAGGTGGAATTCCCCTCACATACAGGATGTTGGAGAGCCGAGCAGAGAGAGGTGGAGCACAGCAGTCCAGAGGAGACTGGAGGTTTTGTTGTAGGACTCTCGGCCCGTTCTTCAGAGGAGTGAGGTCTCTACAGATGAGTCACCTTCGTATCATGACTTCCTGCTCCTTGACTCACAGAGAAAAAGCGGTGATGTGTTGAAGCAATCGTCTTTAGCTCACAGAGTCTGACCATAATCACGCTGAATTCACTAAGACTTTGTGTTCAGTCAGAGTTAGATCCAATGAGCTGCGTTTAGTTTTTGTGTTGAGTTAGTATTACATACTCTTATGAGCAAACTGATTAGTAAACACATAATTACAGTACAGTACTGTACACCTATGAGTCCTTATGACCCTGAAGTATCTTAATATAGCGCACGGCTCTGGTTTAATAAGACCAGAATCTCCCTCTAACGTTTACTTTGACCCTGTTTACACCTGGTATCAACACATGGTTTCAGTGATCTGATCCCAAGTGGACAGTACTTTAGTAATAGCACTTTCACACGTCCAGAAATCTCCTGAAAATTTCCATAAGCTGTATGTGTGAAACAGCATACATTTTTTCGTTCTGTCTTCACCCGGAGTATCTTCTCCATCCATATCAATTTAAATGTATTATCTCCATCCCTACAGACCGCCTCTGTATGTGGCTATAGGGTGATCAGATCTCAATGCTTTTGCACGGCCCATTGGAGTGCATTAACACCAATCATTAAGGACGTCCATCTTTGATCCACTAACCCAGGAGGGATGTTACTGCATGTTGTCAACATGGCCTCTGAGAGTATTTGTGTGGTAAAAAAATTTCATGATTGGATTATTTCTGCTGTATTGATGTTATCAGGAAATCGTATTTAAATATGAATCGTCTACTTTATCTGTACTTTTCCTTTGAGAAGTTGTATAACTGGAACGCCGTCAGTCTTGAAGAGTTTTTTAAGTGAAGCCGTCTGAGAAGTTAAGACAGAAAAAATCCCCTTCTGTGACTCAGACTCCTCAAAAATTTGAAGAAATGCTCTAAATAAAATGTCACAAGCCAGAAAGATATGGATCAAAGAGTTTGATGTCTGATTATGCACAGTGTCTTTAACGATATGAAAATCTCAACCTATGACGTTAAGACGACAGACTGATGCAGCGGAGGAAAGGGAATATTTCTCTCTGAGATGTTGGGAAGTAAAAGTACAACGCATTAAAAGCTCGTGACTTCATTTGAGTTAAATACGGTACTCGAGTAATTGCATACTGTTACTTTCCAAACCTCACTCCTTACCGTCCTGACTCTGCAGCTGCAGCCCATTTTCAAAGCTGCCTCCATGCAAGTCCACGTTCAGGCTCAGACATGTCGGAGCGCGTCGACGCAGCTGTCCCATTCCAAACATTCCTCCAAATGAGGCCAGCTAATTCAGCCTTTTCCCTCACATTTGCACCCCGAAATGTTCTTTTACTTCTCCAGACTTCATCGTCATTAACTCATTGAGTTGTTTCTTGTTATTTTCTTACCTGAGCTGCAAAAGGTAAGCGGTCACAAGTCCTGTGATAACCTCAAACTACAACTTGTTATGCTCAGATTTAACACTAAAACTGTTAGGTTTTTAAAACTCCATTAAGTTTCCATTAAATCAAAACAGCTGTCTGAAGAGGAGGATGATTTCACTCTCTTCGAAGCCACTGAACTCCAAATTAACGAAAATCTGTTATTTTAGAAAACACAGCAGCTCAGCAGCTTCCTGAATCTGTTCTGTTTGTGTTACTGTGTGATTTTGTTGTTTATCATGTTTAAGTTGGATTCAATACTGTTTGTTGCTGCAAGAAAACTAACTGCCAGGGCAGCAAAAGATCGGCAGTTCCCTCGTTCTGTGACGTAAAATGACTGTTTTTGTCTTTGGAGTCTGGTGGCCTTGAGGATTGCGATGAAATGGATGTTAAAAAAATCACCGTCCTCTGAAACAGAAAGGGTCTCTCTTTGCAGGGATCCCTTCTGTAATGATGTCAGACACTTAACTTTCACAAAGTCTGCAAAGTTTGGAAGCTCAAATTGAGAACATTTTAATTAAAAGAATAATTTTGTATATAGAGCACTTTTAAAAACAAGGGTTTACAAAGTGATTTGACACGTGCAGAAGCATTAGAACCCAAAACAACAACAAGACCCCAACAGTAGAAGAACCCAAACAAAAAACCTAACCAACGTCAGAACCTGAACATGATCAGAATTCAGGCAACACAGGAACCCAGGCGACTCAGGTTGAGAACAAGAGGACCGACTGGTAAGAAGATAAATAAGCAATTAAAAGAGATAGAAACAACAAAAAGTGTCTAGAAGCCATAAGTTGAAATAACCAATAAAAGCATTAAATATTTTTAAAGGAAGAATGTGCGACTTTTTGATCCAGTAGAGGTCGCCCTTGAGCTCCAGAACAAAACAAACTGCTGTTTGGCAACACCTCCTCCATACTGAACTGCCAACCCCTCACCACTCGCGTTCACATGAAGGAGAAATCAATTAGAACACACCATAATTAAAAACAATTTAAGCGGCGGACTAAATTGTCCTTTGCTGAAGCTGCAATCACCTGTGTCCTGCATTGTTGTGTTAGCATGCTAATGTTTGCGCTCTTTAGTTAGCTCGTAGCTTCACATTGCATGTTAATTTACAAAGAATGAGCGTGATCTAAAAACTCTTACGTGACGTCCAAATAATCAGTGAGTATGTTCTTCTTCTTCTCTCTAGTCCTTGACTAAAACAGCTTTTATACACAAAGGGAGGAGCCGGCCGTCCCGTCCATGTAAACACGGCTCTGACAACAACACAGCCAGCGGGACTCGAGCTTCTCACTCATTGTAGACAGTCATGACTCAGAGACACATTTACACTGGATAGACTGGATTTATTATGTATTTATGTGGAACATTTAGCACATTCTTCCTTTAAAGTCAGTAAATAATAAAAGCAACAGACACAATTAAAAGGAACTGGACTCAATAAATCGAGCACTAAACTGTGAAGTGAGGTTTTTAGGGAAATAAAGTAAAAGAAAAAAAATGAAGGAAGATGTTTAAAAAAAACCTGAATATTGTAAGAATCATATCACTATGAATGAGCTCTCTTTGCTTTAATATTAACTGCCTAATTAATGTTAATCCATCCAAACGGTGCCGTGTAATCCTCCTTGAGTTTTGAACCGAGCAGCTAATCAATATCAAAACGCAGCATGTTCTGTTACTGTGAATGTTGAAATGTGGGGCAGGATTTTTCCTCCCTCATCACTAAGAGGTGTGGTCTGTGATTATTATTCTAATTTATGAACTTCTGGGAGTGGTTTGGTCGTCATTGACATGCAAATAGCATGCAAAGCAGAGTGGTCTGCGCCGCGGTATTATGCAAATACAGGAGTGGCCTATATGTAAATAAGGGTGTGGTCTATTTTCCAGTATGCAAATAATAGTGAGACCCTGTTTCTGTGTATCGTTATCTAAAGTCTGTTTTATATTAATATGAAAATGTACCCAGGAGAGTTTCCTTTTTTAACTCAATAGTTTTACTTTTAATGCAAGGATTTAATCGCTCGTTAATGCAAATAACGTTCTCTAATATGTTTATTTCCACATTCAGGAGGACGTTTTTTAACTTAAACTGCAGTGAACATAATTATCTTATATCTAAATACAACATTATTACATGTTTTAAAAATAGAAGTTACTCCCTGAAAGGTGTAGCTACACTTGTTTTCGTATGATTTCATCAGACATATTCATTTATTATTACGATATCGACATCACAAACAACACTTTCATTGTCATTGGCTCTTCTGTGTTAACAAAGGAAAAGTAGAGATACTTCAGAGCGATTCTTTTTGTTGTAATTATTAGTGTTGTAGTCAAGACCACACCAAGACCACACTAACCGAGACCAAGACCAGAGTGCTCCGAGACCAAGACAAGACCAGGACATTCAGGGGGTGAGAACAAGTCGAGACCAAGACCAAGACCATAAATATCACTGAAAAATCATCATCTTGTGTGATGTGGAAAAATAGTCGATCAGTGGTGATCTTGACTGGTCTTGATTTAAAATCTGGAGTCCGCCCAGTCT